GCCTGGAGTTCCAGTCCTGGGACAACGCCTCACTCTTGTGAATTTGGGGTCGCCTCCCCATTTCTGGGCTCCATTTCTCCTACTGGAACCTGAGGACATTTATCAACTTGACCCCTGAGAGTTTTTCCTACCCCAATGTAAACGTTGAGTTCTCTGAGTGCAGGAACCAGAGGTCCTGACAACAATCCAAGGCTGTGAGCTAGGGGGAGGGGCCCCTGACAGCAAAGCAGCAGTGTGGGAAGGAGACAGAGGAGACCCCAGGGAGCAGTCAGAGCTCCCCACTAGGGCTCTGCTTGGTCTCCACTTCTTTTCTTTTCTATTTTTTTTTTTTTGAGGCAGAGTCTTGCTCTGTCTCCCAGGGTGGAGTGCAGTGTTGCAATCTCAGCTCACCACAACCTCTGCCTCCCAGGTTCAAGTGATTCTCCTATCTCAGCCTCCGGAGTAGCGGGGACTACAGGCATGGGCTACCATGCCTGGCTAATTTTTCTATTTTTAGTAGAGATGTGGTTTCACTATGTTGGCCAGGCTGGTCTTGAACTCCTGGCCTTGTGATCCGCCCACCTCAGCCTCCCAAAGTGATGGGATTACAAGCGTGAGCCACCTCACCCCACCTTCTTTTCCAGCAGGGGAGGACACCCTGATTTTGGAGTCAGTGAACCCCCATCCACTTTCCCTAGGGCTGGGATCTGCCTGCACTGCTACTGGGGGACTCTCCCTTGGTCCCACCTATCAGAGAACCAAACAGGGAACTTCCCTGTCTGTGTCCTTGTGCTCACCTGTCTCTCCGTGTGCAGCATGTGCTGGGCATGAACATGCATGTATGTATCTCTGTATGTGCACATGTAGTGTCTGCACATTCACGTTATATGTATGCGTAACTGTTCAGCTGTCACATGCATGCTGGGACTGCTGCAACTCCTGCACGACTGTTCTCATTGGCTACAGCTGTGCTTAAGAACATAAGTGGGGGTTGATGGTGTATAGAGGTGGACAGACCCCCTCCTTCATGCCCAAGGACACCAGCCCCTTAGTTCTCTGAAACCCTCAGTACTTCTTTCACTTCTTCCCTAGAATGGCCCTCCTTCTGGCCCCTTGCACCTTCTCCCAGGGGACCCTGCTGAGGGGTGACAGCATAGGGTCTAGGCCAGGTGGGGTGCTGGAAGACCTGGGGAGGGGCAAGCCAGGACAGGTTGCGTCTCCTTTCCAGAACCTGCCCAGGGCTGGGAGGGGCCTTTGGCCCGGAGGCAGGAGGAGGCTGTGTTCTCCTGTCCTAGATGCTGCCGCCTGGGAGCTCTCAGGGAGCTCAGCCGTCCAAGTGCATTCATCTGCTTCTGCCACCCGCTCACTGTGCTGTCAGCCCATATCAGCTGGAGTGCACCCCACACAGGAGGACGGGGGCCGAGTGCTTGCTCCCCAGAAGAACCCAGTGGCCTTTCTGTGGCCACCCTGTCCTCCCTGGGGTGCCACAGAGGCCTGGGTTCCAGCCCTGACTCTGCCACTGAGTCTCTGGGTGGCGTTGAACACAGCATGCCCTGTAAACTACACAATGGGTACATCTGTGGAGAGGGTTACAAGAGAGGACACCGAAGGTCCCATCCAGTGCTAAATCGCCACATCCAGCTGGCTTAGCCTGTCCCTCTGACCTCCTTTCTCATTCCTCCCCAAGTCCAGCACCTTCCCCAACCTACCAGGGTGATCCCAGAGGCCCCCCAGTGGGTCCCCTTGACACCCTGCACCCGGCTGCTGGAATCCTCTCCCCTGACTGGTGTTTTCACCTCCCCTTTCTCCCACAGAAGAACTTTCACTGGCTCCCTCTTTCTGTCCTGTAAGCCTGAGTGCTTTAGCCTGAGCTCTGTCACTTGCTGGTGTTGACTTTCTGCTTTAACTCAGCAATTCAGCTGTCCGTGTGCTGTGAGCGCTTATCCCTGCCAGCCAGCGCCTGCACGCTCCACCTCCTACATCCACCATGCCTTCTCCCTGCCACCGTTGGATGCCTCAGAGTCCCCTCCCGCCGAGGAGGACTCTAATCAGGCCTCTCCTTGGTGTTCCCTGGAGCTGATAGCCATAGTTTGCACTTGTCATGTGCCTATCTGTAACTGCCCAGGTCTTCTGTGTGTGCGAGCCTGTGTGGTGCCTCTTCCATTGGACTGGGACCTCCCCCAGGAGGGGTCTTGGGTCACCTGTTGGACTGGGGGTTCCCCGATGGTTAGGGTGCGGGGTGGTGGAAGTATATGGTTACTGGGGAACTTTGCCTGGGACTTGGTGTCCTGCTGACACCCTTCCTGCACCTTCCTCTGCTGGGCTACTTGGGAGGAGATAAGGGGCGGCAGGAACCTGAAGGGCCCTGCCCACTGGAGCTGGGCCACCCGTGGCTGCTGAGGGCTGGACTGAGGCCCACACCCACCCCTCTGTTCCCTGCAGGAGGAAGAGAATGGAGGCCGCGGAGGAGGTAAGGGCGGACTGGTGGGCTCGGGGCCTGCGCAGGGACTTACCTTGCTTCTCCCTGTCTCCCCCAAGTCTGCCTGTCCTTTTCTGTGCCCCTCCCTTGACTCCTGTTGCTGCCTTTTCTCTTGTCTGTGCCCCTGGCCTGACTTCCCCTGGTGCCTCTTCCTCACTCTCTCTGTCCTCCCGCTTTCTTTTCTCACACTTGTCTCCCTTGGGCCTGTTTCCTTCACAGAAGTTCACTGAGCTTGGCACACTGTGGGCCGCACGCTGTGGGTGGTACACTGGGGTGCCGATGTCTGCCACCCGGCCCCTGCCGTCAAGCTGCTCCCAGCCCAGAGCAAGGCATGGCAGTGCTGCAGGGCCTGGGGGCTGGTGGTGGGAGCACTGAGCAAGGGCTCTCCTTGGAGGTGGAGACAGTGGGGTCTTGATGAGAGTCAGGACCACCAGCATACCACTGTCATGTGCACCACGTAGTGCCCATACCTCACACACAGGTATACATGGCACACAAGGTCCACAAGGTCTTTCTCTCCTATGAGGTGAGCCTGACTCCCCTTGGTGTGGCCCTTGCTCCCCAGGCCCCCTGGGTATTCCAGATAGAGCTCCTTCTCCGGCAGTCTTTCACTCTGCCACTGCGGCTTCTGCTGGGCAGCCGTAGGACACTCCTGTGTCCCCATCCAGAGGCCGAGCTGGGCGAGGGGCCAGCTGGCCTAGAGCAGGCCCATTTCTCTATTAGCCTAGAGTTAGCAGCACTTAGGAGCAAAGAAACTTTGTTGGGGTGCAGTGTGATTTGTGCCCATCCTAGGGGTCTTGGACCTCTGCTTAGATCTCCTGAGCCTGGGGAAGGGAGGAGGTGGGGGATGTGAGTGTTGCATGTCTTGCTGGGTCTGCAGGAGTGGGCATCCCTGCGTGGAGGGCGTCTGTCCCTGCACTGTGTCTTCGGAACTGTTAGGGCCTCTTGTATGGCACCCTTTCCTCTGTCTTGTGAGTTGTGTGTGCACGTGTGTGAGAATCTGCCTTGGGAACTGGACAGTGAGCTCTGGAAGGACAAGGGCTGTGCCTGTTCTTTATTCTTTTTGAGATGGAGTTTCACTCTGTTGCCCAGGCTGGAGTGCAATGGCACGGTCCTGGTTCCCCACAACCTCCACCTCACAGGGTCAAGTGATTCTCCTGCCTCAGACTCCTGAGCAGCTGGGATTACAGGCACCCACCACCACACCCAGCTAATTTTTGTATTTTTAGTAGAGATGGGGTTTCACCATGTTGACCAGGCTAGTCTGGAACTCCTGACCTCTGGTGATCCGCCCACCTCGGCCTCCCAAAGTGCTGGGATTACAGGTGTGAGCCACCGCACCCGGCCTGTTCATCCTTTTTAGTGTAGCTTTTAGCACATGAAGAGGACACAGGAGGTATTTACGGAGTGACTCTGTGTCCCCGCAGATTTTCCTTCTCCCAAGTCTGTGTCTTCCTGCCAGGTTCTGTGCCTCCATGGCCTACCCAGTGCCCCCGTGGATGTGTGGGCCTGGGCATGTTTGTGACCGGGTGAGCGCGATCATTCTCTGAGTGTGTGTCCCCTGTGTGTGTAGCTGTGCATGGCTGTGACCTTCAGCGGCCACCCCCAACTAACCTGGCTGATGCCCACCAGGACCCTCCCCCCGGCACCGCCTGGAGCCCATGGACACCATCTTTGTCAAGAATGTGAAGGAAGATGGCCCTGCCCACAGGGCGGGGCTTCGCACAGGTGAGCTGTCCCAGTTACCTGGGCTCTATTTTCTTTTTTTTTTTTTGAGGCTAAGTCTCCCTCTTGTTGCCCCAGTTGGAGTGCAATGGCACGATCTTGGCTCACTCCAACCTCCGCCTCCCAGGTTCAAGTGATTCTCCTGCCTTAGCCTCCCAAATAGTTGGGACTACAGGCACCCACCACCACGCCCAGCTAATTTTTGTATTTTTTAGTAGAGATGGGGTTTTGCTGTGTTGGTCAGGTTGGTCTTGAACTCCTGACCTCAGGTGATCCACCCACCTCGGCTCCCAAAGTGCTGGGATTACAGGTGTGAGCCAGTGTGCCTGGCCTGGGCTCTACTTTTCTACCTTCTGTCTAAGATGGGATTCTGGGATCCAGGTGCTAGGGAGGTCCCTGTCCCCACACTGTTATCCATGCCTGGTACTGGGGTTCTCAGATGGGGCCTCTAATGCACCTTGGTCACCACTCATGTGCTCCTTGTCCCCAGGAGACCGGCTGGTAAAGGTGAATGGGGAAAGCGTCATTGGGAAGACCTACTCTCAGGTCATAGCTCTGATCCAGAATAGGTGAGTGCTCTTGGCCCCTCATCCCATATTATCTTCCCGCCCCTTTGCCCTGGGGATGCTGTGGAGACCAGGATCCCTTCCTCTTGGACCCTGTTCCCTGGCCCAGCCTGACACTCTGCCTGTTTCTGTAGTGATGACACTCTGGAGCTGTCTATCATGCCGAAGGACGAGGACATCCTCCAGCTGGTGAGTCCCGCCCCCACAGCCTGAGAGGAGACCCCTGAGCTCTGGGGCAGCAGCGGCTCCCTCAGGAGGCAGAGAAGGAAGTGTCAGGAGGGTGCTGGCTGACACTGCCCAATTGGGGATGCCAGGCCCAACCCTGGGCTGGAGCTGGTTGTTGCTTCATTCAGAGCTGCTCTGTGCTGGGGGAGTGGGAGACCTGGCCTTGGCAGGCAGGATTCCTGCCAGGGTATCTGGAAGGAGGGTGACCGAGCAGGATCTGCCAGCCTGGCACGTTCTTATCAGCTCCTAGGAGACATGCCTGTTCCCCACACCCGCTCCCTGCCAGGCCCTGAGTGAAGGTGTCTCTGGTGGGTGCATCCACGCAGACAACGAGCACACATCAAACACTGCCCAGCACACCCCACCCCACCCCGCTGTCCTGTGCACCACGCAGTAGCCAAGCAGCACACAGGTACACAGCACACAGCACAACCTCTATCCAGCACAAAGCACAGCACAGCACACACACGGCACCAGCACGTGCCACAAACAGACAGCCACACCGGCATCCACTGCCACCGTTCACCCACACAGCGAAGTGCACCACAGCACACACCCACAAACACTAAAACATGTCGATACACTCAGCAGCCGCTTGGCTCCCACAGTACAAACAGCGCAGTACCTCGCACACTCGGAATCTTCGCCTCCTCATCTGTACACCCACAATGCGCAATCACAGCACGCACTCCCGCAAACACTGGCGTGCTCCTGCCCCACCTCCGCACATGCGCCCACCTGTGTCACAGGAAATTTATTCAGTCCGAACCTCAGCATACCTAGAAGACAGCGTCCAGCCTGACACACAGAGAGCGAGGCCCAGACAATGCATGAAGCACTCCCTGTGCTCCCAGGTGTACCCTTCCACACACATGCGCGCACTCATGGTGCCTGACTGTGCTGAGAGCCCCGGGCAGTCCTCTCTGCCCGGTGCCCACCTCCCTGTTCTCATGGGTCCCAGCCAGATGGTGGCTTGCTTGCCCAAGGTCACTGTCCCCGGGGAGGCCCTCAGAGCCTCTGTGCTGGCTTCTGCCCTGGACGCACTCTTGTAATCACTGTAATCACAGTGCCATGCCTGGCACGATGCCTCTCTGGAAACCTCCACCCCTGACCTCGATTGTCCCCTTGTTCTTCCTGGGGAGAGGGAGGAAGGAAGTGGGGCTCAGAGATGGACTGCTCACCCCAAGTCTCAAGGCCTGTACAGCTCCCCCAGGCTGAGGTGAGGCCAGCTGTGGGGGAGTGACAGGGTGGGACCCTGGGGTGTCCCCCACTCTCTCCAGCTGCCAGGGGCAAGGAGTAGGAAGAGCAGCAACTTCCAGTTCTGCTGCCCAGGTTGGGGTGGGCTGGTAGCCCCAGATGTCAGCATCTGGGGACCTCCACTGGCCCCTGCATCTCCGCCAGCCAGAGGGTGGGGCCCAGGCATTCCTGTGGTTGGGAGCCAAGGCTGGAGGCCAATCGGGCCTCGGCAGCTGCTGACGCCACCACCGACGCGGCAAGGCCCTCCACACCCATCCTCCCTCCCTCCTCCTCCCGCCAGCCAGCCAGCCGGGAGAGCGGGGTGGGAGCAAGGGGGAGCCGCAGTGAGGGCAGACAGAAGGGACCAGAGGCCCCAGCCAGGGTGGCACAGTGGTCAGTGGGGGGGTTAGCCAGAGCTGGGGGTGGGCGGAGGCGGGCAGGGATGCTGCCGCCGCCGTGAAGATGCCGGGAGCCTGGAGAGACGGTGGGATGGCAGGAGGGAGAGGTATGTGTGTGCCGGCCCCTGTGCCAGCCGGAGGGGGCTGAGTGCGGGGGTGCGGCTTAGCTTGTCTTCATCACATGATGTTTGTGCCTGGGACTGGAGGTGTAGTTATTTGTGTGTGTCTCATTGTGTTTGTGTGTATGTCTCTGGGTGTGTATCTTCCAGTGTCTCCTCGTAGTGTGGTGTGCGTGTGTTTGGTTTCACCCACCCACCCTTTGGTTCTTCGCCCTGAGTTAGGCTCCTGGGCAGCTCAGCAAGGGCCAGGCTGAGCCTGGGCCACAAGGCCGCTGCCCCTGGGAGCCACCTCCTTTTTTGGCTGGGCCTGGGCGCTGGCCCTGTCACTCCTTAGCAATGCAGCGTCAGCCTCAGCTCCCAGTGCCAAATTCCAGGCCCAGGGGTGGCAGAAGGTGGCTCAGGCCCCTCCTTCAAGCCTGGAGGAGGTGGGCAAGCTCCTCCTCACCCCAGTGGCTCAGGAGCCATCCCCCAGCTCCCCATCCCAGGGATGGAGGGACAGCTGGGCTCTGCCAGCTTCCGCCCCACCCGGACACACCCCTAGCCGGCTTTCTTCTCTCATCTGCCACCTTGACTGGTCTCTGTGGGGTTTCCCGGCTCCACCCGAGGAGCTGTGGGCATTGGTAGACATAAGGGGGCAGGGAGGCGGTGGAGGCCAGGATGGGGCAGGACCCCAGGAGACAGATGCTGGAATGTTTTTGGCTAAGGAAGTCCTTGTCATAGTCCTAGAGAAATCCCACTTTTGCTGGAGTTTGCCTGTGTCTCAAAGGCTTCTTGCTTTTCTTTGTCCTCTGCCTGGACATATGCTCTGCTGTCCCCTGTTTCCCCTTACCTTCCCCTGCCTTCTCCCCCCACCGATTGGTCCTCTCCCTTCAGTCCCCTCCTGGACTCCTGTATCTTCTTGGGCTGCCGTGCCCCTGCCCCGTGGGACCTGTCTGGCCCTGCTCACCTGCTTCTGTGTCTCTGGCTAGGCCTACTCCCAGGATGCCTACCTGAAGGGGAACGAGCCGTATTCTGGAGAGGCCCGCAGCATCCCGGAGCCACCCCCAATCTGCTACCCCCGAAAGACCTACGCTGCTCCGGCCCGGGTCTCCACCCGGGCCACTATGGTGCCTGAGCCCACCTCAGCACTGCCCAGTGACTCCCGGAGTCCTGCTGCCTGGAGTGACCCGAGGCTCTGTGTGCCACCCTCTGCCCGTGCCCACCTGGACAACTCCTCCTTGGGGATGAGCCAGCCCTGCCCCAGCCCTGGTGCCTTCCCCCACCTCGCCTCGGAGCCCCGGACGCCCTGTGCCTTCCCGGAGCCTGGCAGCCGGGTCCCCCCAAGCAGACTGGAGTGCCAGCAGGCCTTGTCACACTGGCTGTCAAACCAGGTACCCCGCAGGGCGGGGGAGAGACGGTGCCCAGCCATGGCTCCCCCGGCCCGCAGCGCCTCCCAGGACCGGTTGGAGGAGGTGGCCGCCCCCCGCCCATGGCCCTGCTCCACCTCCCAGGATGCCTTGAGCCAGCTGGGCCAGGAGGGCTGGCACCGAGCTCGCTCAGATGACTACTTGAGCCGGGCCACCCGTTCCGCTGAGGCACTGGGACCAGGGGCACTGGTGTCACCCCGCTTTGAGCGGTGTGGCTGGGCTTCCCAGCGTGCATCTGCCCGCACCCCTGCCTGTCCAACTCGGGACCTGCCAGGGCCCCAGGCCCCACCCCCACCTGGGCTGCAGGGCCTGGACGACCTTGGGTACATTGGCTACCGGAGCTACAGCCCATCATTCCAGCGCCGGACTGGCCTCCTGCACGCACTCTCCTTCCGGGACTCACCCTTTGGGGGGCTACCTACCTTCAACCTGGCCCAGTCCCCTACACCGTTCCCACCAGAGGCTTCTGAGCCACCCAGGGTTGTCCGGCCGGAACCCAGCACCCGGTCCCTGGAACCTCCTGCGGAGGATCGCCGCGATGAGGTAGTCCTGAGGCAGAAGCCCCCGACGGGCCGAAAGGTTCAGCTGACCCCCGCAAGGCAAATGAACCTTGGATTTGGTGACCAGTCCCCAGAGCCAGAGGCCAGTGGGCGAGGGGAACGCCTGGGCAGGAAGGTGGCTGCTTTGGCTGCCACTGAAGACTCTCTGGCTTCCATCCCCTTTATCGGTGAGTGATGGTGCATGTGGCTGTCCTGGGAGATGTAGCTGTCTGTGTCCTGCTGTCCCCATCTGCCTGTTCACCTTGGGCAAGACTCTGGGCTGGGTGCTGGTGGGATCACCTTGTTTCTTTGTCCATTCATTTGTCTGCCCGTCCATCCATCTATTCTTCCATTTTTCTGTCATCCTTTTTTCCATTCTACCTCACATTCATTTATCCTTCCAGCATCTTTCCATACATGCTTTCTTTTTTCCCTTCCTCTCTCCATCCCTCCATCCATCCATCCATCCATCCCTCCCTCCATTCATCCATCATCTATTCTTCCTTTCTTCTTTCCTTCCTCTCTCCCTCCTTTGTTCATTCATTTGTTCTATCCTTTCTTCCACCCATTAATTCAACTTTGATCCCTTCTACTCTTCCTTCCATCCTCCCATTCTTCCTCCATCTTCCCATTCTTCATCCTCCCATTCTTCCTTCATTCTCCCATTCTTCCTCCATCCTCCCATTCTTCCTCCATTCTCCCATTCTTCCTCCATCCTCCCATTCTTCCTCCATCCTCCCATTCTTCATCCTCCCATTCTTCCCTCCACCCTCCCATTCTTCCTCCATCCTCCCATTCTTCATCCTCCCATTCTTCCTCCATCCTCCCCTTCTTCATCCTCCCATTCTTCCTCCATCCTCCCATTCTTCCTCCATCCTCCCATTCTTCCTCCATCCTCCCATTCTTCCTCCATCCTCCCATTCTTCATCCTCCCATTCTTCCCTCCACCCTCCCATTCTTCCTCCATCCTCCCATTCTTCCTCCATCCTCCCATTCTTCATCCTCCCATTCTTCCTCCATCCTCCCCTTCTTCATCCTCCCATTCTTCCTCCATCCTCCCATTCTTCCTCCATCCTCCCATTCTTCCTCCATCCTCCCATTCTTCCTCCATTCTCCCATTCTTCATCCTCCCATTCTTCCTCCATTCTCCCATTCTTCATCCTCCCATTCTTCCTCCATCCTCACATTCTTCATCCTCCCATTCTTCCTCCATCCTCCCATTCTTCCCTCCATCCTCCCATTCTTCCTCCATCCTCACATTCTTCATCCCATTCTTCCTCCATCCTCCCATTCTTCATCCTCCCATTCTTCCTCCATCCTCACATTCTTCATCCTCCCATTCTTCCTCCATCCTCCCATTCTTCCCTCCATCCTCCCATTCTTCCTCCATCCTCACATTCTTCATCCCATTCTTCCTCCATCCTCCCATTCTTCATCCTCCCATTCTTTCTCCATCCTCCCATTCTTCATCCTCCCATTCTTCCTCCATCCTCACATTCTTCATCCTCCCATTCTTCCTCCATCCTCCCATTCTTCCCTCCATCCTCACATTCTTCATCCTCTCATTCTTCCTCCATCCTCCCATTCTTCCCTCATCCTCCCATTCTTCCTCCATCCTCACATTCTTTCCTCCATCCTCCCATTCTTCCCTCATCCTCCCATTCTTCCTCCATCCTCACATTCTTTCCTCCATCCTCCCATTCTTCCCTCCATCCTCCCATCCTTCCCTCCATCTTCCCATTCTTCCTTCCATCCTCCCATTCTTTCCTCCATCCTCCCATTCTTCCCTCCATCTTCCCATTCTTCCCTCCATCCTACCATTCTTCCCTCCATCCTCCCATTCTTCCTCCATCCTCCCATTCTTCCCTCCATCCTCCCATTCTTCCTTCCATCCTCCCATTCTTCCCTTCATCCTCCCATTCTTCCCTCCATCCTCCCATTCTTCCCTCCATCCTCTCATTCTTCCTTCATCCTCCCATTCTTCTTCCATCCTCCCATTATTCATCCTCCCATTCTTTCCTCCATCCTCCTATTCTTCTTCCATCCTCCCATTCTTCTCTCCATCCTCCCATTCTTCCCTCCATCCTCCCATTCTTCCTTCCATCCTCCCATTCTTCCTCCATCCTCTCATTCTTCCTTCATCCTCCCATTCTTCTTCCATCCTCCCATTCTTCCCTACATCCTCTCATTCTTCCTTCCATCCTCCCATTCTTCCCTCCATCCTTCTATTCTTCCCTCCATTCTCCCATTCTTCCCTCCATCCTCCCATTCTTCCCTCCATCTTCCCATTATTCCCTCCACCCTCTCATTCTTCCCTCCATCCTCCCATTCTTTCTCTCTCCTCCCATTCTTCCCTCCATCCTCCCATTCTTCCCTCCATCCTCCCATTCTTTCCTCCATCCTCCCATTCTTCCCTCCATCTTCCCATTCTCCCCTCCATCCTCCCATTCTTCCTCCATCCTCCCATTCTTCCTTCCTTCCTCTTTGTATCTTTCCTCTTTGTCCCTTCCATCCACCCTCCATCCACTCAGCAGACATTTGCGTCAGGCCCTCTGTGTGGCTGCACACTCTCCTGGACTGGAGAGTCCAGCAGGAGTGATGGACAGCCAGGGACAGCCCGTTGGGATGGGCGTGTAGTGGGACAGGGAGCTGGAGGTGAGGGCTCGGAGAAGGGCTACAGTGAGAATCTTGGAGGAAGGACATTTGTGCTAAGCTTGGAAGGATGAGTTCATCAGGGGAAGAATGTTCAAGGAGAGGGAATAAAATGTGCAAAGACTCTGAAGCAAGAGAGGCAGGAACCCCATCTGGGTGTGAGAATCCCTCCAGGTCCAAGGGTCTCATCAGTCACTGGGGTTGGCTCTTGAGAGCAGAAGGAACGGTTGGGCGCGGTGGCTCACGCCTGTAATCCCAGCACTTTGGGAGGCCGAGGCGAGTGGATCACGAGGTCAATAGATAGAGACCATCCTGGTCAACATGGTGAAACCCCGTCTCTACTAAAAATACAAAAACTTAGCTGGGCATGGTGGCGTGTGCCTGTAATCGCAGCTACTCAGGAAGCTGAGGCAGGAAAATTGCCTGATCCCAGGAGGCGGAGGTTGTGGTGAGCCAAGATCGTGCCATTGCACTCCAGCCTGGGTAACAAGAGTGAAACTTCATCTCAAAAAAAAAAAAAAAAGAGAGCAGAGGGAACCCTCCAAGGCTCGCCTTGCCTTAGACTGGATGTGGGAGAGGGAGAGGCAAGAGAGTAGAGAGGCTGGGTGATGCCCAGGCTTCTGGCCGGGCTGGGGGTGGTGCCTCACCCGGTGTTGGGAGTGAGAGGGGGAGAAGGTTCAGGGCTGTTGACTGTGAGGTGCCCAGGAGGGAGCAGGATAGATAGGGAGTGGGGGGGGGCTTCGGGGGAAGAGCAAGATGCAAGGTAATGGTGAGGGATGGTGGGAGCTGGGAGGTGAGCTCACCCTGGGACAGCCTAGCAGACAGTGAGAGGGAGGAAGCCTGCGGCAGGGGAAGACACGGGCCTGGCTCCCCTAGACAGCCTTTGGTGGAGCAGAGACGCAGCCCCATCTGTTAGTAAGGAAGGCTCTAGGCTGTGGCCAGGAGAGGCAGTCTCTTCTTCCAGAGTGCACTGTCTGAGGGGGGATATAGTCTCTTCCCTGGAGGAGCCCCAGCTGATGGGGGAGCCCCTATCCTTAGAAAACTCTCAATCTCAGCTGGGCACTGTGGCTCCGCCTATAATCCCAGCACTTTGGGAGGCTGAGGCAAGTGGATCACTAGGTCAAGAGATCGAGACCATCCTGGTCAACATGGTGAAACCCGTCTCTACTAAAAATACAAAAAAATTAGCTGGGCATGGTGGTGCTTGCCTGTAGTCCCAGCTGCTCGGGAGGCTGAGGTAGGAGAATTGCTTGAACCCAGGAGGTGGCGGTTGTGGTGAACCGAGATCGTGCCATTGCACTCCAGCCTGGGTAATAAGAGCAAAACTCCATCTCAAAAAAAAAAAACAATAAAAAGAAAGCTCTCAATCTGATGGGGGAGACACCATCCCTGCCCTCAGGAGGCTCCCAGTCTGATGGAGGAATATTGGCTCTGCCCTCAGGAGCCTGGTCTAAGGAGGGTGGTTCAGCCTCACTCCTGAGGGGAGGCATTCCGTGGCCACAGTCTGGACAGGGGCCAGTCACGCTTGACAGTGGGCTTGTTGCTAGCGGAACTCTTTGGGATGTGTCTGAACCTGGAAGCGAGAGGCATGGGGGATGGTAAGGCTGGGGTGGGGAAGGTGGGCTCTCTGCCTGCTTCACACCTCTCTCCTTCCATGTGCACAGATGAGCCCACCAGCCCCAGCATTGACCTCCAAGCCAAGCACGTCCCTGCCTCTGCTGTGGTCTCCAGTGCCATGAACTCGGCCCCCGTCCTGGGCACCAGCCCATCCTCCCCAACCTTCACCTTCACCCTGGGACGCCATTACTCGCAGGACTGCAGTGAGCGCTCCCCATGCCCCAGCCTCACCCTCTCCCCTGGTGCCCCATCCCAGGGATCTCTGTTGGGCTTGTTGCCTGATGTCTGCCCTCTTCCTCTGGTTTCTGCTCTTCCTGGGGCCCCTTGGGAGAGTCACCTCCTGCCCCTGCCCAGAAAGGAGGGCTCTGGGAAGCCCCCAACCTGCTGCCCCGCTGAACCTGACCCTGAGGCCTGATGTGGGCGGCTTTGCAGGCAGCATCAAGGCTGGCCGCCGCTCCTCCTACCTGCTGGCCATCACCACGGAGCGCTCCAAGTCCTGCGATGATGGGCTCAACACCTTCCGGGACGAGGGTCGGGTTCTGCGGTGAGGCCCTGTCTGGACGTGGGGTGGGGTGGAGTGGGGTGGCCACAGGCGCGCTGGCTGGCTGCTCTGGGGTGGGGCTTTTGGCCCTAGGGTCCTCTATGCACGGGACAGTGTGCCACCCCTGCTGGAAGGCCTGTGGGCCTTGGGGTTTGGTGGGTGACAAGATGGTGAGGTCCCAGCTGTGCCGCCCACATCCCTCACCCTCGGCCCTTGCTTTCCAGGCGCCTGCCAAACCGTGTCCCCAGCCTGCGGATGCTCCGGAGCTTCTTCACGGACGGGGTGAGCGGCAAGTGTGTGTGTATGTGCGTGCTGTGTGGGAGCGAGGGTGTGGAAGCAGGAGGGAGGGTGCTGGGAGCGAGGGTGTCGGGGAGGTGGACAGGGTGAGCAGCATGTGTGAGTGTGCATGCAGGAGAGAAGGCATCAGAGGAGAGGGTGTCATCAGGAGAGAGGGTGCTGGGGAGATGGGCCATAACCTCGGCGTGGGGGTTTCTGCTCCAGCTGCTGCCTTCCCCCTCCTCCCTGCACCCCTCACCCTCGTGTCCACTGCAGGACCCGCCCTCCTGTGTGGGTCCCGGCATCCTTACATGACACCTCTTGGCCCTACCCAGGGCCTTTGGGCTTAGCATCTCCTGCCTGGACTGGCTCTTTCCAGGCCCACCCCTCATGGCCACATGACCCACTTCACTTTCTTCACGGTTTTTAGGTCTTCCCTGAAATTCCAGCCTCCGCTTCTGACATTTCACACCTCCCTTCGCTACTCCGTTTTCCTACTCAGCACACCTCATGCACAATTGCTGTTTCCCTGCCTGGCTCCCCAGCTAGACTAGAAGCTCCCCAAGCTTATATTCGGGGCTTCATTAGTTTCTTTCACTACCCTCAGTCAATACGTGCATTGTGTCTTGTCTTCAGGGGACGAGGGGGCTGGGGTGGAAATGGAAAGGTGGCCGGGACACAGGTTGAGATTGGTGGACAGGTGGAGTTCCCAGCCTCAGGTCCTGGGGAGGCTGAATCAGGCCTGTGACAGCTCCGGCTGGTTTTTGTTGTTGTTGTTTGTTTGTTTGTTTATTTTGAGATGGAGTCTCACTCTGTTGCCCAGGCTGGAGTGCAGTGGTGCAATCTTGGCTCACTGCAACCTCTGCCGCCCAGATTCAAGTGATTCTCCTGCCTCAGCCTCCCGAGTAGCTGCGATTACAGGCATGTGCCTCCATGCCGGCTAATTTTTGTATTTTTAGTAGAGATGGGGTTTCACCATGTTGGACAAGCTGGTCTCAAATTCTTGACCTCAGGTGATCCACCTACCTCAGCCTCCCAAAGGGCTGGGATTACAGGTATGAGCCATCACACCTGGACATATTGTTTTTTAAATCATATATATTTTTTTCGTGTGTGTGTGTGTGTGTGTGTGTGTGTGTGTGTTTTGAAATGGAGTCTCACTCTATTGCCCAGGCTAAAGTGCCGTGGCATGATCTCAGCTCACCAAAACCTTCACTTCCTGGGTTCAAGGGATTCTTGTGCCTTAGCCTCCTGAGTAGCTGGGATTACAGGCATACGCCACCACACCTTGCTAATTTTTGTATTTTTAGTAGAGATGGGGTTTCACCATGTTGGCCAGGCTGGTCTTGAACTCCTGACCTCAAGTGATCCGCCTGCCTCTGCCTCCCAGAGTGCTGGGATTACAGGCGTGAGCCACTGTGCCTGGCCTTCCCCACCCTGCTTGGATGTTTTTGATTATAGATGGACTGGAAAAGCCATCTTGATGTCAAGCCCTCTGTCTCCTGGGTTGGTTGAACGCCTCAATGATGCTGGCACCTGGCTCATTCCTTCCTTATCACTTCCTCTGCTTACTTAACTTTCCCTTGACTTGTGCCCTCTGCGGCTGGAGTCCTGCTGACATGGTCACTTCCTCTGTTTAACTCCTTGTGGACATGACTACCTGCTCCACTCATTCAGCATTGTCGGTGTTCCCACTTCCTCTGTTTATTTAACTCCTTGCTGACATGGTCATTTCCTTCGTTTCCTTAATTCTTCTAAGTCTGTAAAGTTTCAGGAGGCTCCGGACGGGCTCCTCTTGTGTGGTGAGGCCTGTGGTCTCAGGGCTGGCCATAGCCTTTCCTCCTTCTGGCTTCTCCTTTATGGATGTCTCATGACCTCAACACAAGTGGTCCAGAGAGGACAGGCAACGCCCATGAGGTCACACAGCACATCAGGGCGTAGCACAGACATACGCCAGGCCTGTGTGGCCTCGAGTGGTACATGGGGTTCCTGAGATGCTGGCATTGTGGGAGCCACCCTAAACTGCCCTCTGTTGTGTCCCTGCAGTCCTTGGATAGCTGGGGCACCTCTGAAGATGCTGACGCTCCTTCTAAGCGACACTCAACCTCTGACCTCTCAGATGCGACCTTCAGTGATATCAGGAGAGAAGGCTGGTTGTATTATAAGCAGATCCTCACCAAGAAGGGGAAGGTAAGATGGGTTGAGGAATGAGGGGGAAGCTGGCTCCAGCAGAACCCTCCAGCTTCTCCTAGACCCATCCTGACAGACTCTGCAGCCAGAGAGAGTTTGCAGTGTAGGTTGCAGCATGAAGGATGGAGGTTGGATGCTAGGAAGAATTTCCTGGCAGGGGGATTTAAAGAACTTATGTAAAAGAAGTTAACAAGAAAGGTGGATTTTGCTGTGGGACAGATCTGATTAAGTTGTGCTTGGAGTTCTGGTGAAACCATCCCACAAGGACCCTGGCTTGACAGGCCACCCTGAAGATGGCCACCGGGGCTCCTGGAAAACGAGGAGCAAGGCAAGGGTGATTTCCAGAGGAGAGCTGAGGCCCAAGAGGAAGGCAGGCAGGCCAGCAAAGAACGCAGTGTTCATCCTAAGGGCAACCAAAAGCTCTCGGGCTCGAGGGCTCTTCCCTAGGGAGTTACAGCTTTCAAATATCCATTTGGCTCCCTGGGAGCGAGTTAGGGAGGGGCCACACTGGAGGCAAGAAGACCTGTTAGGAGCCACCATGGAGATCAGGTGAGAGGCGAAGGGGGCTTGGACCTGGAAGCTTTGGGGAGTAGGTGGGGAGGGTCTGGAAGGGAACCAGCAGGTCTGGGAGGGAACCTCTGACAGAAGGGCAGGGCTCGGATCCATGGGGTGCAAACCCTGCCCGGGCTGCGCTGTGGGCTGGAGAAGTGGGAGGAGAGACCACTGCCTTCCCTCCCCGAGGTTAGGATGAACCTGGGTTTCACTCCGACTGCCTCACCTGTCATGAGAGCCTGTCTGACTCACCTGGCCGTGACTCAGTGTCCTCGTCTGTAAATGGAGCTAACAGTAATCCCTCACTCATAAATCTATTACTAAGGATTAAATGCAGGGATCTAAGCAAAGGTGTTACCTGGTGCCCTGCACTTGGCACTGCTTTATTCTGCTTACTGCCATTTGTTTTCTTTTCTTGAGACAGAGTCTCACTCTGTTGCCCAGGCTGGAGTGCAGTGGCATGACCTTGGCTCACTACAACCTCCGCCTCCTGAGTTCAAGCAATTCTCTGCCTCAGCCTCCTGAGTAGCTGGGATTACAGGCACATGCCACTACACTTGGCTAATTTTTGTAGTTTTAGTAGAGACCAGGTTTCACCATGTTGGCCAGGCTGGTCTCGAACTCCTGACCTCAAGTGATCTGCCTGCCTCAGCCTCCCAAAGTGCTGGAATTACAGGCATAAGCCACCGTGCCCGGCCCTGTCCAGGGTTTTAAATGTGGGCTGGGCATGCTAGGAGACTGGGGTTGTGTCTGTGACAGGAGGAGGCAGTGTCATTGCCATTGTCCAAGTGAGTGAGGCTGGGCGCCCTGACCAAGGGGGTGGTATGGGGCCAGGTGGAGTGGACCCTTTAGAGAGAGTTTCCAGGAGAAGGTGGGGAGGGGCTTGCCAGCAGCTGGGAGGTACAGGAGGCAGAGGAGGAGGTGGTGGTGGCAAGGTTCCTGGATTCCTGGCTGGGGCTGAGGGAGGGTGGTGGGTGGTGGGACTCCTGGGCTATGGCATGCTGGAGGAGCAGGTTTGGGGACAGGAAGCCAAGGGGTTCCACTGGGGCTATGTGAAGTCTGAGGGCTCTGGACAGACCCCAGTGGAGGTGTTCTGGGGACAGGCTCTGAGGGCGTGGTACTAGAGGGAGGACTCCCTGGGGACCGCCTTTGTCTGTCAGCACCAAGAGTCATGTGTGCTTCTGCGTGGAGCTTGAAGGAAGAAAGCAAGAGACCCAGCTGAGCCTTGAGAGAAGTGTGGGGGGCAGGGGAGGTTAATAGAGACTGAAAAGAGCCAGCAAGTTGGCAGCGACACATGGGGTAGGAGCCATGAGGCAGGGAGGGGCCAGCCATGTGCACAGTGTGAGTAGGGCCGCATGTGGACCAGCGATTCCAGTCTAATGTGTGAGCTGCGTAAGGGTCCTCTTGAGAGCGGCTGGTTCCCCCTGCCAGGGAGCCTGACCCTCAGCTCCTGGGGGCCCTGAGCCCAGTTCAGGGGCAGGAGCTGGCCCCTTCCTGCTCACTGGCCAGTTCTGGAGGACAGGGCCTACACTCCCTTGCTGCCCAAAACCTGATGCCGCTTCTTCCCTGGGTGCCGTGGCCTGGGCATTAGAGGAGGGTCTTCAAGTCAGCCTGAGGCTGTTGGTCCACCCAGGCTGTGGGCACCCTTTCCGTGCTCCTCCCAGCTCCAGCCTGTCAGAGACACGGGCTGTCAGGCAGAGGAGGGAGAGGGACAATGACTTGTCCCAGAAGCCTCAGCCCCAGCATGGGAGCTGCATGTGGCCTTAGTGACCAACTCCCTCACTCATTTACCAGCCAGAGACACTGAGGCCTGGGAGTGTGGGTGATTTGTCCCGGGTCATCCCGCTGGTTTAGTCTCAGAGAAGTGCCCTTGTCACCACCTCACCATAACATTAAAATTCCCCTGGAGGGCCCTGCTGTCTCCTACTCTCAATATCCCTGTCCCTATGCAGAAGTTCTGTGATGAGCAGGGCTCACAGCACAGGAGCCACACGATGTGAGGCCACATGTGGGCTATGCCCACCTGCCAGCCCCAGGGTCTCCTTGTCTGGCTTGTTCGGAGGGCCGAGGCCTGTGCTGGGTGTGGGGCGGTGGGTGGGCCACCAGCCAGCGGAGAGGAGCCCTTGGTCTGATGGGAGATGGAGCTCCTACCCTCAGGGTGCTCCAAGAATCATTAATTCATCTATTCAGCAAATATTGATGAATCCCTGCATGCAGCCCTAGGTCCCGGGATATGGAAATGAGCAGCCGGACAAGCTCCCCTGTCAGGACAGCCTGAGGCTGCAGTAAGCTCTTGGAAGGGATCGGGCTGATTGGAAGCAGGAGCTGCATTGAGGGAAAAATATGGTCAGACAAGGCCTCTCCGCGGAGGTGATGTTGACGCTGGAGCTCAGATCTGAAGGGAAAGAAGGAAGCAGCCACTTATAGAAGTGAGGGAGGGCGCTTAGGCAGAAGGAACAGCAATCGGAGAGGCCCTGAGAATGGAAAGGCGTGGCTCGCTCACCTGCAAGCCCCCTGGCTTGACAGTGAGAAAGGCGTGGGGATCTGTTGGAGAGAGGCAGGGGCAGACCACAGGAGACCTTAGATTTGACTCTGAGGGTGATAGGATCTCAGGAGGGGATCCTGAGTGGGGGAGAGATGTGATCTTTTCATCCTAACACGCTCGCTGCAGCTGCTGGCTGGGGATGCTTGTAGGAGTGAGAGTAGAGACTGGGAAGGTCTGGGCATCCTCCAGGCAAGAGGCATTGATGGCGAGAACCCGGTGGTAGTAGGAAAGATACAGACAGGATGTTTTGGAGGCAGAACAGTTGAGACTTCCTCATGGATGGGATGTCAAGGGTGAGGAAAAGGGAGGAGTCAAGGCCAGCTCTCAGGTTTCTGGGCAATTGGGTGGGTGGACTGAGCTGGAAAAGATGGGGGTAGAGGGTGGAGAACGGGTTTGATGTTAAGAAATCACATGGCCTGACAAGTATTGTGCAAAGCGCCCATGTGACCTGCACATGAAGACACTGAGCAGAGTGGGGTCCCGGGCTGGGGCTGGAGACACTGGGCCAAGGACTGGCCATCAGCAGATGGACCTGGTTTAAAGGCACGGCACAGATGACATCCCTGAGGGAGGTGTGCAGGGAGAGGAGAGGAGAGTCAGGACAAAGTTCTGGAGTTCCACCTTCTTTAGGGCAGGGTCTCTTACTCTCAGCTCTGCTGGCATTTTTGGGCCAGGTAATTCGTTGTTGGGGGAGGCTGTCCTGTGCAATGTTGGTCAGCATCCCCCAGATGCCACAGCACACTCTCCAGCTCCCTCCACACAAATGTCCCCTAGGGACGAGCCTCCTGGCTGTTTACAGGTGTAGAGGGTGAGGGAGGGGCAGGAGAAAAGACTAGGGAAGGAGCCAGTGGGATTAGGAAGAAAGCTGGGAACACGGGGTCTCAGCTGCAGAGACAGGGTCTGGAGAGGGAAGGAGGGGCCGGCTGTGTTAGATGCCGATGAGTGGTTAAGGCAAGAGGGAGAAGGGGCTGGGCGAGGTGGCTCACGCCTGTAATCCTAGCAATTTGGGAGGCTGAGGCGGGGGAATCACAAGGTCAGGATTTCGAGACCAGCCTGGCCAACATGGTGAAACCCCATCTCTACTAAAAATACAAAAATTAGTTGGGTGTGGTGGTGCGCGCCTGTAAATCTCAGCTACTCGAGAGGCTGAGGCAGGAGAATTGCTTGAACCTGGGAGGCGGAGGTTGCAGTGAGCTGAGATCGTGCCATTGCACTCCAGCCTGGGCGACAGAACTAGACTACATCTAAAAAGAAAGGAAAAAAAAAAAAAACAGCCAAGGGGGAGAAGCAGCCACTGGCTTTGGCCACATGGTCGTTCTGGGTGTCCCTGAGAGTCGCTTCTGAGCAAGTGGAGTCGGGTTCTGAGCAGTTTTGCTGGGGTGGGGGCAGCATGGGGAGGGGCGTGGGCTGGGAGTGGCTTCCCAAGGATTTCATGTACAGAGGGCCATGCTGGGTGTCTGGGCATTGCCATCACCCGGTGAGTGTTGATGCTGATGTTTAGAGGGGAGAGGGCTGGGGTGTGCTGGGGTGCTTGAGGATGATGGGTAGGGGTGTCCAGCAGGTGAGGAGCTGAGAGAGCATTGGTGGGCTGTGGGCAGGAGGCTGCCCAGGTCCGAGTGGAGCAGGGGGCTCCTAGTAGGCAGTGTGGGGCCCGTCCCCTGGCTGTCCTCTCTCTGCTACTCTGAGGGCGGTGGGCAGGACTGGCTTCTCACCACTCCCGTCTCCCCCAACCCCGTGTCTCCCTGCAGAAAGCGGGCAGCGGCCTGCGCCAGTGGAAGCGGGTGTACGCCGCGCTGCGGGCGCGCTCGCTCTCGCTGAGCAAGGAGCGGCGGGAGCCCGGGCCGGCGGCGGCGGGGGCTGCGGCGGCCGGCGCAGGTGAGGACGAGGCGGCGCCAGTCTGCATCGGCTCCTGCCTCGTGGACATCTCCTACAGCGAGACCAAGAGGAGGCACGTGTTCCGGCTGACCACCGCTGACTTCTGTGAATATCTCTTTCAGGCTGAGGACCGGGATGACATGCTGGGCTGGATCAGAGCGATCCGGGAGAACAGCAGGGCCGAGGGCGAGGTGAGGGCCTGGCCCGCCTGGCAGCCACGGAGGGCGGGCAGGGTGGCCTCTCACCGGCTGTGGGCCTGGGATGACCGCTCTGAGCCTCACTTCCCTCTGCTAGAAAGGGGGGCTGACAGGAGTACACCTCTCGATTGTGTCCCCCGAGGGTTTGGGGTAAGGAGGGTGCGTGGGCAGGGCTCACAGAGGACCTGGGGTCCTCAGGTCCGGGGACTGGCAGTCACCATCTTGACCTTAGTGATGACAAGGATTATTATGACCGGTGTCAGGGTCACTTTGGGCAGACTTTGGCATGGAGGGGTCAGCTCCAGGCCAGTCCCAGCTTTTCGCAGGAGGTGAAGAAGGCAGGGGCCTCCTAAGGAGTGTGTTAGGCCATGAGTGCCCCCGCTCCAGAACTGCAGGGAGCTGGCCTGTCTGCAGGGGGATGAGCACATTGACCTACCTCCTGAGGAGGCCGAGAGGCTTGGCTTAGGCCACAGGTTGGCAGGGGTGGAGCCAAGGGCTTCTGCAGGGATTTTGGGAGAATTTTTATTTTTTTGAGATGGAGTTTCACTGTTGTTGCCCAAGCTGGAGTACAATGGCACAATCTCGGCACACCAAAACCTCCACCTCCCAGGTTCAAGCAGTTCTCCTGCCTCAGACTTCCAAGCAGCTGGGATTAGAGGCATGCGCCACCACGCCCGGCTAATTTTGTATTTTTAGTAGAGACGGTGTTTCTCCATGTTGGTCATGCTGGTCTCGAATTCCCGACCTCAGGTGATCTGCCCACCTTGGCTTCCCAAAGTGCTGGGATTACAGGTGTGAGCCACTGAGCCCAGCGAGAATTTTTTTATTTTTTGAAACGGAGTTTTGCTCTTGTTGCCCAGGCTGGAATGCAATGGCATGATCTTGGTTCACCACAACCTCTGTCTCCTGGGTTCAGCCTCCCGAGTAACTGGAATTACAGGCACCCACCACCATACCTGGCTAGAATTATTATTACTATTATTATTATTTATTATTATTTTTTAATTGAGACGGAGTTTCGCTCTTGTTACCCAGGCTGGAGTGCAATGGCACGATCTCGGCTCACTGCAACCTCCGCCTCCTGGGTTCAGGCAATTCTCCTGCCTCAGCCTCCTGAGTAGCTGGGATTACAGGCATGCGCCACCATGCCCAGCTAATTTTTTGTATTTTTAGTAGAGACGGGGTTTCACCATGTTGACCAGGATGGTCTCGATCTCTTGACCTTGTGATCCACCCACCTCGGCCTCCCAAAGTGCTGGGATTACAGGTGTGAGCCACCGCGCCTGGCCTATTACTATTATTATTTTTTTAATTTAACTTTAATTTTTATTTATTTATTTTTTGAGACGGAGTTTCACTCTTGTTACCCAGGCTGGAGTGCAATGGCACGATCTTGGCTCACGGCAACCTCTGCCTTCTGGGTTCAAGCAATTATCCTGCCTCAGCCTCCTGAGTAGCTGGGACTACAGGCGCACACCACCATGCCCAGCTAATTTTTGTATTTTTAGTAGAGACGGGGCTTCACCTTGTTGACCAGGATGGTCTCGATATACTGACCTCGTGATCCACCTGCCTCGGCCTCCCAAAGTGCGGGGATTATAGGTGTGAGCCACCGCGCCCAGCCTATTTTTAATGGCACCTCTTACAGTCAGCTGTACCTGCACCCCAGGGTCCTGGGTGGGATTCCTCCCCATTCACTCCTTTGGCCAGGAACCTGCAGAGAAGTGCCTTGAGACACCCACACAAAGCCATGTGGGTGTCCCGGGCCTGGGGTCTCTGCCAAGAGGGCAGGGGGCCTGGGCCTGCTCTGGACATGGGAGGGGCGCTGGTGCAAGGCCTCTCACTGAGGACACATCCTCTTACTGACCAGGCTCTGCTCTCCCTGGAATGGCTTTCCCCACTGCAGGGAGGAAGGCACCTATTGGGCCCTCCTCTGGGGTCCTGGCTTATCTGCCCCCAACAAGGTGTGATTGGGGGGGTCCCAAGCCACTGTCACTAAGGCAGTAGCAGCCTCTCCTGGGGCCCCTCCTCCGTACCTGCTCAGCGTCTGCTAGGACGGTGGCAAGTGCTACCTGGGTGATTCTGCACCCAACCCCGAACCTGCCCTGTTAGCCCCCCATGTTTATTATCAAGGAGACTGAGGCTCAGAGAATCTTAAGAGGCTTCCCCAAGGCCCCACAGCTGGTGAGAGGGTGGGGGGAAGTCTGGGCCTGGTCTTTCTCACTCCAGGGTCTGGCTGTCCACCTTGCAGGTGGACAAGAGGGGAGTCAGGGCCCGGAATAAGTCCTGGGGTGGGCTGGCTGTGGGCACTGACGTGGTCCATTCTTTCCTCTCCTGATCTAGGACCCCGGCTGTGCCAACCAAGCTCTGATCAGCAAGAAGCTTAATGATTATCGCAAAGTGAGGTGAGGCCCAGCCTTCGTTGAACTGTCCCCTCTGTGGGGGTGGCGGTGTGGCTCTAGGCAAAGGATGTTCTCCTGACCCACCTCCAGGGCCACCCTCTGCTGGAGGAAGGGGCATTCAGGGTCTCTGGCTGCAGTCAGGCATGGAGGTGTTGCCACAGGATGGAGGGGAGGTCCTAAGCAGCAGGAGGCCAGGGTGGGTGGCCTGCTGGGCCACCCCCAATGAAGACCTCTCCTCTCCCGCTTTTCCTACACAGCCATAGCTCTGGGCCCAAAGCTGATTCCTCCCCGAAAGGCTCTCGAGGCCTGGGGGGCCTCAAGTCTGAGTTCCTCAAGCAGAGTGCAGCACGTGGCTTCAGGACTCAGGACCTGCCCGCAGGGAGCAAGGGTAGGAAGGTGGCCACTGAGACAGGGTGGTGTGTGGGCCAGGGGACTGGGGAGGGGAGGGCATGTGTATGCGTTGGGTTGTGTCTGCTTGTGTGTGCCAGGGTTACCCAGTATGTCTTTCCACATGTACATGCCTGTGAGGGTCTGGGGGCCCTCAGGATCTCCGGGAGGAAGGGCCTGGAGCCTGATTCCCCCCACCGACATCCCTTCCAGTGGTCCTCTAATCTTTGCTGGTGTCTCTGCAGGGGCGAGGCCCACCCTTTCCAAGAGCAACCTTTCCCATCTGCACTCACCTTTGACTGTTAGAAAGTTCTTCCCTGGCCAGGCAAGGTGGCTCACACCTGTAATCCTAGCACTTTGGGAGGCTGAGATGGGCAGATCACCTGAGGTCAGGAGTTCAAGACTACCCTGGCAAACATGGTGAAACACTGACTCTACTAAAAATACAAAAAAAAGTAGCTGGGTGTGGTGGCATGCACCTGTAATCCCATCTACTGGGGAGACCAAGGCATGAGAATCACTTGAGCCTGGGAGGTAGAGGTTGCAGTGAGCCAAGATCACACCACTGTACTCCAGTCTGGATGACAGAGCGAGACCCTGGCTTAAAAAAAAAAGGAAGAGAAAGTTAGTTCTTTCCTTGGGCCAGCAGGCATGGTTGCTGATACCTATGATCCCAGCATTTTGGGAGGCTGAGGCTGGAGGATTGCTTAGGCCAGGAGTTTGAGACCACACTGGGTAACATAGCAAGACCCTATCTCTACAGAATATTTTTTTACATTTCATTTATTTATTTATTTAGAGACAGAGTCTCACTCTCATCTAGGCTGGAGTGCAGTGGCGTGATCTTGGCTCATTGCAACCTCCACCTCTCGGGTTCAAGTGATTCTTGCACTTCAGCACTCCCAGTAGCTGGGATTACAGGCATGTGCTACCACACCTGGCTAATTTTTGTTGTTTTAGTAGAGACAGGATTTCACCATGTTGGCCAGGCTGGTCTCGAACGCCTGGTCTCACGTGATCTGCCTGCTTCAGCTTTCCAAAGTGCTGGGATTACAAGCATTAGCCACTGTGCCTGGCAAATTTTTTCTTTTTTTGAGACAGTCTCATTCTGTTGCCAGGCTTGAGTACAGTAGTGTGATCTCGGCTCACTGCAACCTCCACCTCCCAGGTTCAAGCGATTCTCCTGCCTCAGCCTCCTGAGTAGCTGGGACTACAGGTGCGCGCCACCATGCCTAGCTGATTTTTAAATTTTTAGTAGAGACGAGGTTTCACCATGTTAGCTAGGATGGTCTCAATGTTGTGACCTCGTGATCCACCCAGCTCGGCCTCCCAAAGTGCTGGGATTACAGACGTGAACCACTGAGACCGGCCAAATTTTTTTTAATTAGCCAGGTCTGGTGTTGTGAGCCTCTAGTCCCAGCTGCTCGGGAGGCTGAGGAGGGAAGATCTCTTGAGCCCAGGAATTTGAGCTGCAGTGAGCTATGATCATATCACTGCACTACAGCCTGAGGGACAGAGACCCTATCTCTAAAGAAACAAAGAACATTCTATGGCTCCCACCTTGTAGTTTTGGCCCATGAGGCCACATGGAAGTCCTTGCATTGATCTGGGCCTCTCCTCTGGGGTAAGCATTGTCCCCATTAGGCCTTCTCTCTTGCCATACAGTGTCTCATCAGTCCTGGGCATCTGGGTGCTTCTCTGATGGAGTCCCCATACGTCCAAATGTGTGAATGTGGCAGTGAGTGTGTGTGAGCCTCCTGGGCACTCCAGCTCACCCTGGCTCTCTGTCTCCCCCATGTCAGATGACAGTGCTGCAGCTCCCAAAACCCCCTGGGGCATCCATATCATCAAGAAAAATAAAAAGGCCGCCCCAAGGGCGTTTGGGGTCAGGCTGGAGGAGTGTCAGCCAGCCACGGAGAACCAGGTGGGTCTCTGCCACATGCCAGAACAGGCATGGCAGGGGGGACACCGAGGCACAGAGGGTCAGCAGTAAGGGACATGGAACCAGCTCTCCACCTCATTGTACAAACACAGCTGGGAAAATAGCCCAGAGAGGAGAAGGCCCCCGCCTGCCCTGGGCCTTCCAGGGAGGGAGCATCAGGGCCAAGGCCACGCCCAGTTCCTCTCAGACCATGGCGAGGCTTTGGTATCATTTCTAGCTCCCAGACTGGAGGCAGCAAGGGCCTTGTGTTCCCCGAAAGGTTCCTGGCAGCAGCTCTGGGCCTTGCACTGTCCCCATCTTGGCCTCCCTTGCTTCTCTGGCCCCTGTCCCCCTAACACCCCTGCCCTGTGTCCCCAGCGTGTCCCCTTAATCGTGGCTGCGTGCTGTCGCATTGTGGAGGCTCGAGGGCTGGAATCCACAGGCATTTACCGAGTGCCTGGCAATAATGCAGTGGTGTCCAGCCTGCAGGAGCAGCTCAACCGAGGGCCTGGGGACATCAACATGCAGGATGAGGTGGGTGAAGCTGGGGGGGTCTGTGGAAGGGGGGCCGAGGTGGTGTGCGGGTGGCGCTCTGCTTGGAGAGTTCTGCGGCCTGTTGTGTTGCATGCATGCTGCCCTGTGACATGCCTGGCATTGGTCCAGTACACCAGAATGGGCAGGATGCAACCTGCCCTTGGGCCACCCTGGGGATGGGCATCACCCCAGGCTGAAGTGGAACAAGTAAGTGCAGTCATGGCTGGGGAGCTCTGAGGCAGAGGCCCAGAGGACAGACGGAGGTTTTGTCTAAGTGTTTAGGATGAGTAGAGTTTACTACAAGCCGGTGAAAGCCAGGTAAGGCCGTTCCTGGCAACAGAATGGCCTGTGCAATGGAGTGAATGTTTTCTGCTGTGGTTTGCTCTGTTGCGTTCCCTCCTTCTCTTCCTCCTCTTCCTAATCCTTTTTTTTTTTTTGAGACAGAGTCTTGCTCTATTGCCCAATTGGAGTGCAGTGATGTGATCTTGGCTCACTGCAACCTCCACCTCCCGGGTTCAAGCAATGTTCTTGTCTCAGCCTCCAAGTAGCTGGGATTACAGGTGTGCAGCACCATACCCAACTAAGTTTTGTATTTTTAGTAGAGATGGGGTTTCACCCTCTTTGCCAGGATGGTCTCGATCTCTTGACCTCGTGATCCGCCCGCCTCGGCCTCCCAAAGTGCTGGGATTACAGGTGTGAGCCACTGCACTTGATCTCTCCCTAATCCTTTAACAATGTAAAAACCATATTGAGCTCAAGGGCTATCCAAAGGCAGGCTGTGGCTGGATTTTGCCTACAGACTGTGCGTGGTTTGCAGACCACTGGCTTAGAGAAAGGGGAATGTTGGGTGTTTTCTAGAATGGCCAGCAATTTGGGTGGCTGCAGCATGGAGAGAGTGGCTGCTCAGGTGAGACGAGACCAGCTTGTGAAGGGATTTGCAGCCACGCTTAAGTGTTTCCAGCAGGGCCTGTGATTCTCAAATGCTGTTCCCCAGAGTCTTAGGGTTCCCCAGAGGGGCCTTGGGAGGCCAGGGGCAGGTCAGGACCCTCTGTCCTTGCTAGGACAACCCTGCTTTGCCCTGTCTGTTGTACTGGGTTTTCCTGTACAATTTTATTTGCCCAAAGGGGCCCTGATAAAAAAGATATTTTGGAAACCATGAACGTGGGCAGTGATGTCCCATGAGTCACACACGTGAAGCCTCATGAAATACATGAGTCTTCCTGTCCTTGGGGAATGGGGAGATGAGACAAGTGTGTGAGAAATTGTGGACAAGAGAAAAAGCTCTCTCATCAGGGACCACACTGTGATGAGGAAGGAGAGGGTGCTCAGGCTGGAGCAGGTGGCAGCTCCCGGGTTTGAGTATCTGAGGAAAGAATAGGAGGGGGCAGGTGGACCAGAAGGCCGTGGAGTGAGATGATGGCATTTTTCATAACCTGGCGGGGGGGGGGGCGGTTTGAGGGTTAGTGCAGAGAGTGGATCCGCCTCCTGGGCTTGGAGGTAGGGAGGGTGAGACCCCGGGGGACAGAGAGGGAGTTTGATGGCTTCACTGAAGCCTTCAACCTTGATCTGATGGACAGTAGGGAGCTTTTGATGGTTCTTAAGCTGGGGAGGCATTGTGAGAGCGCAGTTCAAGAGTGATGCTCCTGCTCATGCCCGATGGATAGGAATGGGGAGGGCAGAAGTCTGAGGAGAAGGCACTGATCTATGGAAACACTAAGGGTCGGAGGATTTGGTGGTCCCAGAGGAATGGGGAGGAGGGGAGCAACCCTAAGAGTTGGCCACCTGAGACGGGGAAGGAGGGGCGAGGAAGAGGTGCACATTTGAGCTGGGGCTGGTGGTATCTCCCCTGGCAGAAACCAGAGAGTAGCATGAGAGGTGGACCGGAGGGGCCGTCTCAGGGAGTGGCTCCATTGGATTTGGGGTGTGGAAAGTCTGCTGCATGAGGCCATAAACAGGCATAGACTGAGCACGGACTAGAGAGTGGCATGGGTCCTGCTGTGGCTTGGGCATGGAATGACTGAAGGCGGGCAGCAGAACAGCAGGGGCCATGCTCAGTGTGGGGCAGAAGGAGAAGGCCGCCATCGAGGCTGGGTGAGGGCAGGTGCTTGACTCTGGAGGGGCCAAGAAGCCCTGGCTGGGGCCTTGGGCTTGGCAGCTGGGAGATGAGACGGGCCTACACCTGAGGGCCAGGAGGTAATGGGGTCGGGTGGGCAGGAGCTGCACTGGGTGTGCGTGGGTGTGTGGTCAGCTTGGCCTCAGCCAGGGACGGATGGGGGCCTGGCAGGTGTATTGGGTGTGTCATTTTGTCTTAGATATCATTGCGTCATTTGCTGTGGGGCATGCTGGGAGTCAGTGTGGTGGGGGACGAATCTAATCCCCCATGAGCCTAGGGGGAGGGTATTGTTTGTGGGATTGTCTGACATTAAGCTGTGGATCCATTGTAATGAGTATGTGTGCGGCTGCGTTGTGTCTCTTTGTTGGGAGTATTAGGTCGCTTTCTGGGCCTGAGTTATTTGGAGCCATTCCCAGCAAGGTGGCTGTGCCTGCCTTGGCGGCAGTGTGTGGTGATGGTGCCACCTGGTGGACAGAATGGACCAGAACGAACCCAGCCGTTCGTTCTTGTACTTAACCATTTGTTTTAGACCAGGGTTTCTCAACCTCAATGGGCATTTGGGGAAGAGCAGTTATTCACCGTGTGGGGTTGCCCTGTACGTTGGAGGAAATGTGGCATCATCCCTGGTCTCTATCCACTAGATGCAAGTGGCACCTCCCAGTTGGGAAAATCAGAATGGCTCCAGACATTGTTAAATGTCCTCTGGGGGTGGAGTGGGGCTCTGGAGGACAAAATTGCCTCCTTCTGTCAGAACTACTCATTTAGGCCACGGAAGTACCAGGTTAACTGTCCTAACTAGGTGATAGGGAAGTGAGACAGATGGGATCCCGGCTCCTCCTGGAGCTTACAGTCCTGCAGGGAGACAGGCATGAACACAGACACAAAAGCAGGAAATAATGACAAACAGGATTAAGCGCCACAAAAGAAACAAAGTCAGGGCTGGGGTACAGGTGGTGGGTAGTGGTGAAGATGGCTGCTTTAGCTGTTGGGTCAGAGAAGGCCTCTCTGAAGAGCAACTTTTAGACGGGATGAAGAACCAGTCTTGTGGAGGTGGGGAGGAACGTTCTAGCTGAGGGAACCAGCATGTGCAGAGGGCCTGAGAAAGGAAGGCGCTGGCACCAATGGCTGCTGGATCACAGATAATTTACCTGCGCCCAGTGGAGGAGGCAGCTGTCACTCAGTGTGTCCCGCAGTGCCTGGCCTAAAGAAGGTTCCTGGGACTTTCTGTGGATGGGCAGGCGTTGGAGCCTGGGGCAGGGAGGATCTGGGTCCAAGTGTGAACATGGGCACAGGACCTCGCTGGGGACTCAGTTCTGCTGCCACCACCCTGATGAGCAGAGAGCTTGGTCTAAGTGGGTCCGAGAAGGCCTGGTGGGCTTGATTGGGCTCTGGGGTGATCACAGAGACATAGACATCAGGCTAGGCCTGCCTGTGGCCTGACATCTGCTCTCCCCTGCAGCGCTGGCAAGACCTCAATGTCATCAGCAGCCTGCTGAAGTCCTTCTTCCGAAAGCTGCCCGAGCCTCTCTTCACTGATGGTGAGTAGGAGGTGGAAGTGGGGGCGGGGAGGGGATGCCACTCTGCTGCACCCTGACCACGACTTTTTTATTTGGTTTGTTGATTTTACTTTTTTTCTTTTTTTGAGACAGTCTTGCTCTGTTGCCCAGGCTGGAGTGAAGTGGTGCAATCACAGCTCATTGCAGCCTCAACTCCTGGGCCCAAGCAATCTTCCCACCTTAGCCTCCTGAGTAGCTGGGACAACAGGTGCACACCACCACACCCAGCTAATTAAAAAATATATGTGTGTGTGTATATATATATATATTATTATTATTTTTTAAAGAAATTGGGGGTCTCTCACTATGTTGCCCAGACTGATCTTGAGCTCCTGGGCTCAAGCAATCCTGCCTGTTCTAGCCTCCCAAAATGCTGGGATTACAGGAATGAGCCACCACCCATTTTTTTTAAACACAAAAGCTTGTAAGAAAAACAAAACGTAGATTGTACAGTTGTGAGTAAAGAAAACAGCACAGGACCCTGTGACTCTCCCACTCCCTTTCAAGGGAGGCTGCAGGTAGCACTTTCTGAGGGTTTACTGTGTGCCAAGCACAACTCCCTACAGCAAGTTCCCTCTACAGATGGGGCAGCTGAAGCTCAGAGAGGTTAAATGCCTTGCCCAAGGCCACACAGGCTGCCTGTGGCAGAGCCAGGATTCTGCCTCAGGTGTTGGGCTCCAGAGCTAAGCTCTTGGCCGCTTGCTGAGCTGCTTATTCACAACCTGTTGTGTTTCTCTTCTGGCCCTCTTATGCATGGCAGAGATACGCACATGCATACGCAGGGTTTGGAGTTGGGTGGGTTCAGGGATGTCCTAGCAGATGTTTAACATCTGTCTCTAGGGGAGAAAAGCCCTAATGTCTCGAGTTTTCCAGCTTCCATGTTGTAAATACTCCCATCATGGCTTATTCAAGCCACCAACATGATGTCACCAACATGGAATTGGTTAGAGATGCCCACAGTTGCTCTCAGGAGCCGGTGTGAGCAGACTCCAGCACACCGCTGGTTGAGTTGTTTTTAACAAAAGCAGAGATGTAATTCTGAGGTTCATTCCTGTCAGTGCAGAGAGCTCTACCTCATTCTTCTTTTAAATCAGCCATATAGAATTTCATGGTTTGAATAGACTATAATTTCTTTAAGTACTCCTCTATTGATGGATATTTGGGTTGTCTTCAAATGTTTGCTATTATATAACCTGTTCCAATGGCTTTCCTTGAATCAGTCCTTGCACACCTGGATCTGTGCTCTCTGGGGAGATTCTTAGATGTGGAATTGCTCCTTCAAAGTCCCGGTGAACCTTTTTGAGTGCTAATGTCAATTGCACTCCAAGAAAGAGGCCCTGGTTTAGACCTCCACTAATAATGTAATGCCTGTAATCCCAGCTACTTGGGAGGCTGAGGCAGGAGAATGGCTTGAACCTGGGAGGCAGAGGTTGCAGTGAGCCGAGATTGTGCCATTGCACTCCAGCCTGGGCAACAAGAGCAAGACTCCTTCTCAAAAAAAAAAAAAAAAAGCAAGAGTTTGTCTGCCCACATACCCATGAGCATTGGATATTATTACTATTATTATTTTAAGGCTGTGCGCAGTGGCTCACACCTGTAATCCCAGCACTTTGGGAGGCTGAGGTGGGTGGATCACCTGAGGTCGGGAGTTCAAGACCAGCCTGACCAATATGGTGAAACCCCATCTCTAATAAAAATACAAAAATTGGCTGGGTGTGGTGGTGTGCACCTGTAGTCCCCACTACTAGGGAGGCTGAGACAGGAGAGTTGCTTGAACCTGGGAGGCAGAGGTTGCAGTGAGCCAAGATCACGCCACTGTACTCCAGCCTGTGTGACAGAGCAAGACTCCGTCTCAAAAAATAAATAATAAAAATAAAAATAAAATAACAATTATTATTATTTGACACAGAGTCTCACTCTTACTCAGGCTGGAGTGCAGTGGCATGATCATGGCTGACTGCAGCCTTGACCTCCTGGGTTCAAGTAATCGTCCCACCCAGCTTAAGTAGTTGGGACTACAGGTTTGCACCACCACACCCAGCTAATTAAAAATTTTTTTTTTTTTGGTAGAGGCAGGGTCTCACTGTGTGGCTCAGGCTGGTCTTCAACTGCTGGTCTAAAGCGATCCTCCCGCGTCAGCCTCCCAAAGTGCTGGGATTGATTATAGGTGTGAGCTGCCTCACCTAGGCAGCATTGAATATTCTTAATATTTTAAACTTTTGCTAATCAGATAAGGGAAATGGTATCTCATTATTGTTTTTATTTTCATTGCCCTCATTACTAGGGAGATTAAATCATTTTTTATTCGCGTATTGGCTGTTTCTATTTTCTCTGTCATGGCTTGAGGAGACCATTTGTCCATTTTTCTGTTGGGTTGTCTTTTTCTCATGCTGATTTGTGGGAGACAAGCTCTTTGTGTATTATACATGTTAACCCTTTGTTAGTTTTTGCAAATATTTGCTCTGGCCTGCCATTTGCTTTATCACTTTGCAATGTAGAAACTAAAAGCAGGCTGGTCTGATGGTAGTGGGTTATCAGAACTTATTAACATTGGTGTCACTAAAGTTGGTATACAAGCCCTCACTGCTAAATTTGACTGGCTTTACAAAAAAATAGAAACTTAAAGCAGGCTGGACGTGGTGGCTCACGCCTATGATCCCAGCACTTTGGGAGGCCAAGGCGGGCGGATCGCCAGAGGTCAAGAGATCGAGACCATCCTGGTCAACATGGTGAAACCCCGTCTCTACTAAAAATACAAAAATTAGCTGGGCATGATGGTGGGCACCTGTAATCCCAGCTACTCAGGAGGTTGAAGCAGGAGAATTGCTCGAACCTGGGGGACAGAGGTTGCCGTGAGCTGAGATCAAGCCATTGCACTCCAGCCTGGCGACAGAGTGAGACGACTCCTCAAAAAAAGAAAAGAAAAAGAAACTGAAAACAATTTTTTTTTGGATGGAGTTTTGCTCTCGTTACCCAGACTGGAGTGCAATGGCACGATCTCGGCTCACCGCAACCTCCACCTTCTGGGTTCAAGCAGTTCTCCTGCCTCAGCCTCACGAGTAGCTGGGATTACAGGCACGTGCCACCATGTCCAGCTAATTTTTGTATTTTTAGTAGAGACGGGGTTTCACCTCGTTGACCAGGATGGTCTCGATCTCTTGACCTCGTGATCCACCCACCTTGGCCTCCCAAAGTGCTGGGATTATAGGTGTAAACCACCGCACCTGGCCGATTTTTTTTTTTTTTTTGAGACAGAGTTTTACTCTTGTCACCCTGGCTGGAGTGCAATGGCATGATCTCAGCTCACTACAACCTCTGCCTCACAGGTTCAAGTGATGCTCCTGCCTCAGCCTCCTGAGTAGCTGGGATTACAAGTGCCCACCATCATGCCCAGCTAATTTTTGTATTTTTGGTAGACAGGTTTTGCCATGTTGGCCAGGCTGGTCTCTAACTCCTGACTTTGGTTGATCCACCCACCTCAGCCTCCCAAAGTGCTGGGGTTACAGGTGTGAGCCACTGTGCCTGGCCTAACAATTTTTTATTTTATTTACTTTTTGGACTGAGTCTCACTCTGTCACCCAGGCTGGAGTGCAGTGGTGCAGTCTCCAATCACTGCAACCCCTGCCTTCTGGGTTCAAGCCATTCTTCTGCCTTAGCCTCCCAAGTGGCTGAGATTACAGGTGCCCACTACCACGCCCAGCTAGTTTTTGTATTTTTAGTAAAGACAGTGTTTTAGCCAAATTGGCCAGGCTGGTCTTGAACTCCTGACCTCAAGTGATCAGTGCGCCTCAGCCTTCCAAAGTGCTGGGTTTACAGATGTGAGCCACCACACCTGGCCAAAAACAGTTGTTTAAATTGTGACCCAAAGCTGTTCATCTTTCCTTTCTGCATCTCATGTTAAGAATGTCCTTAGAATTATAAAAATATTTTTTTATTTTTTCCCCAATGCTTTTATAATTTTCACATTTGGCTCTACCATATGATTAAATTTGTGTGTTGTGAGCTAGAAATAATCCTCCCCCAGATGGTAGCCATTTGTCCCGGGGACATCTGTTGGGGCCCCCATCCTTCCCCCATTGGAAGTGCTGTCTTTATCATATAGTAAACATCCACACGGCCCCTTTGACCCCCCTTCTAGCCTTAACATTGCTGTGCCTTTTCTGCTCCACCAGCCGGCGTCAGCTGTGCCCTCCTTTCCGGATGTTTCCGTCTCTGGTGGGGCAGATCTTCGCGAGTCACTCTTTCTTTAAAACTATTCCTGGCTGTCTTTGTGCATTAGCTCATCCAGATGAATGTCAGAATAGGCTTATCATGGTCCATGTTTTAAAGGTCCCCATGGACTTGTTCTGAAGAGAGTTGGGGGAGTTCTTGGCAGGGGGTGTCTGAGGCCCCTCCTCCTCTCCAGGTGCCCTTCTCTTCTGACCTGTTGAACCTTGCTGTCCATGTCCTGGAGACAGGGGGCGGGGCAGGGACCTCTTTTCTGGGATCAGCTTGCAGCTCAGAGCTTATTGCTTCCCAAATGAACACACCTGGGCTACCTTGGGTCAGGTGCACGCCCGAATGCAGCTGTGGTGGGTTTGGTCACAGACACAAAACACAGCCCTCCCAGCAGGCCCTTGGCCCGGAAGTCCACCCAGAGAACAGACGAAGGCACTGCCCCCACCTCTCTAAAGAGTGTCCGCTGTGTTCTAGACAAATACAACGACTTCATCGAGGCCAACCGCATTGAGGATGCACGGGAGCGGATGAGGACGCTGAGGAAGCTGGTAAGGAGTGAGAGGTGCTGCTAGGCCCGAGGTGGGTCAGCTGCCTGCGCACCTCTGTCCCAGGAAGCTGGAGGCCGGTGTCGCCGATGACCCCTGTGGCTTTGCAGGAGCCCTGCTCCGCTCAGGGCTTCAGTTTCCCCATCTACACAAGAGAACGGGCAGTGAGAGAGTGAATTCCAGACTCCCTGAGGCATGGTAGTGGGAGCACTTTCGGGCATGGTGTGACGGGGACAGGGGGAGGTCCTCACAGCCTGGCCCCCTGCCCTCTTGTCTCCCGCTCAGATCCGGGATCTCCCAGCACACTACTACGAAACACTCAAATTCCTTGTGGGCCATCTCAAGACCATCGCTGACCACTCTGAGAAAAACAAGGTGGGTAGGGGCCCGAATGGAGCCTCGGGGAGGCAAGCACAGGACTTACTGTGTGGGGGCCCTCGGCACTCACTGAGCTCCTGCAGGTCCAGGTGTGACTACTCAGGCCCCTCTAGGCATGCCTTCCTCCTATGACTGCTCCATCCCCCTCCTTCCCCGCCGCCCCCGACATCTCCTGAGTTTGAGGGCTTTCCAGAGGCAGGGAACCCTGGCCACCCCATATCCTATGCATTGCCATCCTCTGACTCCGCACCAGTCCCTCAAATTGCATTGTCCTCATCAGACCCCTTATACCTTCTGGTTCTGCAGTGGGAAAAATGAGGGGAGCAATAGGACTTTTTGTTTTTTTTTTTTGAGATGAGGTCTCGCTCTGCCACCCAGGCTGGAGTGTCATGGCGAGTTCTCTGCTCATTGCAACCTTCGCCCACCAGGTTCAAGTGATTCTCCTGCCTCAGCCTCCTGAATAGCTGGGATTACAGACACCTGGAAATGATTGGATTTTTTTTTTTCCTCAGGCCTAAAATAACTCCTGGGATCTCTAACATGTTTCCTATTGCAGAGTCTCCCACTGCTGGCATTGACCACTCAGGGCTGCCCTGTACAGGTGTACAGGTTGGGCACTGCTCATGGCTGCTGGGCCTGGGGATGAATGGGGCTGAAATCTGGCCTGTGCTCGACTTATCTAGCATCTCCACACCCATACAAGGAGGTGTCCACCCTCTCAGCTGGGGATGGATCAGGATGTAGTTGGGGACAGAGGCCTCAGGGGCCCAGAGTGAGGGAGGACTGAGTTCAGGGTGCTCGCCGTGACCTGCTTTCCCTGCTGTCCAGATGGAACCCCGGAACCTGGCCCTAGTCTTTGGTCCGACATTGGTGAGGACGTCTGAGGACAACATGACAGACATGGTGACCCACATGCCTGACCGCTACAAGATCGTGGAAACACTGATCCAGCATGTAAGCCTCTGTTCTGGAGAGTGCCCGGCAGCGCCTGGAGCCTGGGCCGGGTTCCTCTGAGCCCCTCACTTCTCAGTGTGGCAGGGTGTGCCTCAGGAAGGGCTCAGCAGCTTTAGAGCATGAGGCTGGGGTGGTATGTGCCCCCCCCCAAATCCACGGGCTGCATTTCAAGGCAAGACAGGAATGGATCCCGGAATCCCTACTGTCCTGGGATGTTGGGTCCCCTGAGGGAGAGTCGAGAGGCCCCCGAGTGTCCAAGATGCCTGGGGAGAGGCAGGGGAGGAGAAAGGGCAGGGAAGGTGCTGTTGGTGGAGGGCAGAATGGGCAGCCTCAGAAGGTGTCCCCCCTGGAGATGCGTCCTGGCAGACATGAGCAGACAGGGGCCAAGGTCTGGCCTGGGCATCAGGCTCTAGTGAATTTCCCTGTTGGCCCCACGAGGTTTCAGGGAGGTAGTGGTGCATCCACGGTAACGAGGGGCAGGTGGGGCAGGACACAGGGATCCAGCAGCAGTGCTTGGCATGTATCGGGCTGGTCACCTCCCTTCCCATGGCTTCCTAGATGCTAACAGCCCTGGTCCTGCAGGTTCTTGTTACTGTGCATGGGCGGAGGAGAACCCAGAGTGGCCAGCAGAGGGCGCAGGAGGCTTTGGTCTTCCAGAGCCCAACCCTGAGGCAGCACCACCGCCTTCTGGGGCCGGCACGGATGTAGATTTTCCATTTCCAATTCTTGTTAACAACCCACAAAGAATGGGAACAGACCCCTCCTGCCAGGGGAAATAAGACTGGCAGCTGGTCAGAGGAAGGGAAACCTCACCCCCAAACCTCATAGACACTTTAGGGAAGGAAAGCTGGGCCATGTCACCCCAGAGGTGACATTTTACAGAGGGGGAAACGGGCTCAGAAAGGCAAAGCGACTTGATTATGGTCACACAGCTAATAAGCAGCAGCCCAGGATTTCAAGCCAGGTCTGTCTGACCAAAGCCTCCCCGCACCAACCCAAAGGACAGACTCCTGGGTCCCTCTTTGAGCTGGCTTGGGAGGGAGAGAGGGGGCCGGGGCAATAGGTAAGGTGGTGGGTGGCCGAGCCGTGCTAACGGCCTTGCCTGCCCGTCTCTCTCCTTCACTGCATGGTCAGGGCTTTGAGCCCCAGGAGGGAGGATCACAGCCTGCTGCATCCTGACACTGGGAACACCACTCCAGAGCTGTCTGGGAGGCCAGGGCTGCCCTGCAGCGTCGGGGATCCTGATGAGGCCTTGGGAAAACTTACTCCCCAGGGCACCAGGGAGCCCCAGAGCCACCCATGAGGGTGTGCTTTGTGGGCAGCAGCAGGGAAGAATGGGCATCTGGCCCTGTGCTCCTGGAGGAGCCACTAGAAGCCCAAGACCTGAGGTCAGCTGAGGTGTCAGGAACTGCAGTCTTCAGGGAAGGAGGCCAAAGCCCCAAGGGGGAGTCCCTGCCCTGGGCAGGGTGGAGAAGGTGGAGTTTGTCTCAGTTGGCACTGACACTAGTGCCTGGCACGTGGTGGACACTTAGTGTTTGTGGAGTAAATAAATGAATGAATGGGGCCAGGCACGGTGGCTCACACCTGTAATTCCAGCACTTTGGGAGGCTGAGGTGGGTGGGTCACCCAAGGTCAGGAGTTCGAGACCAGCCTGACCAACATGGAGAAACCCCATCTACTAAAAATACAAAATTAGCCAGGCATGGTGGCACATGGCTGTAATCCCAGCTACTCGGGAGGCTGAGGCAGGAGAATCGCTTGAACCTGGGAGGCAGAGGTTGTGGTGAGCCGAGATTGTGCCATATTGCACTTCAGCCTGGGCAACAAGAGGGAAACTCCATCTCAAAAAAATAAAAAAGAAAAAAGAGTGAATTGCTAATTGAGGTTGTGAAAGGCTGCGCTTTTCTTTTTCTTTTTCTTTTCTTTCTTTCTGCCTTTCTTTTTTTGACAGAATCTCTCTGTGGCCCAGGCTGGAGTGCAGTAGCACAAATATGGCTCACTTCAGCCTTGTCCTCCCAGGCTCAGGTGATCCTATCATCTCACATCTCAGCCTCCTGAGTAGCTGGGACTAAAGATGCATGCCACCACGCCACCTGGCTAATGTTTGTATTTTTTGTAGAGATGAGGTCTCACTATGTTGCTAGGTCTGGTCTTGAACTCCTGGACTCAAGCGATCCTTCCATCTTGGTCTCCCAAAGTGCTGGAATTACAGGTGTGAGCCACCTCGCCTGGCCAAGCTGGGCTTTTCAATTCAGTCATTCCTGAGAACTGAGCTGGTGGCCTTCCCTTCTTTGCTGTTTTGGTATTTGGACATAATCAGCCCTGGATGATTGTCGAGGGAATGAGCCACCCACTCTGAGCCCTGAAAGCCTGCCCACCCAAGCATCTAGCCCAGAGTCTCCATAGCCAGGGCAGTGCTGTCACTTGCGGCAGCCAGACCAGTCTTGAGGTCGGAAAGAGGGTGGCAGCTGAGGGGTAAAGAGGAATGGTGGCTTGCCCGGGGCCACACGGCAAAATAATGGCAGAGCGGAGAGGAGAGCAACTCAGGTGTTCACCTCCCCATGTGCAAGTTTTACGAAGCCAAATGGAACCCAAACAAAGATCACCCCAGGGCATTCGCTCAGGGACTCACTCAGCACATGCGGTGATATATAATATTTCTCTTTATTTTATTTTATTTTTATTTATTTTTTTTAAAGATGAGGTTTCACCATGATGGCCAGGCTGGTCTAGAACTCCTGACCTCAGGTGATCCATCCACCTCGGCCTCCCAAAGTGCTAGGATTACATGCGTGAGCCACGGCGCCTGGCTGTCTAATGTTTCTCAGCCTCAGCACTAGTGACCTCCTCAGCCAGATAAGTCTTTATCATGGGAGGCTGTTCTGCATATTATAGGACATTGAGCAGCATCGTTGGCTGCCACCTGTTAGATGCTGGGAATAGCACCCTAGTTGTCACCATCGGAAACATCTCTAGACGTTGGCAAATGCCCCCTGGGGTGGGGGAGGGGGTTGAGGTCAGTGGCTCTGGAGCCAGCCTGCTCCTATGTGCTGTGTGGCCCTGGACAAGTTCTTTACCTGCTGTGCCTCAGTCTCCTCATCTGTTCAGTGGAGATGACAATACTGCTTTCCTCCCAGGGACGTGGTCCTTATTTCATCTTCGTCGTGGTCCTTATTTCCATGCAGAGACAGATCACCATGCTAGGAACATAGAGATGAATGGGAGCCTGCTGAATATTGCCAGTAAAAGCAGTATCTCTTCGTGCTCTGGGCTATGCCCAAGGAAGCCCCACCGAAGGACCCTCCCCTGCCCTGTGTGCAGGGAGTGCTTGAACTGTCTTAGAAGACCACAGTGAGAACTCAGCCAGGCAGAGCCAGGAGAAAGGGCATCCCAGGCGGAGAACAGCATGTGCAGAAGCAGGGTGGCAGGAACTAGTAGCCTCTTACAGTGGATCTTCTCGAGGATTCCTCTCGAGAGCTGTTGGCCACCCAGATGCTTCCTGTAGATGCCTGCTTGCAGAGTACTTCTGGGTACCCTCCAACCCGAGTTAAAGGCGGGCTTCTTTGGGCCAATCCTCAGGCTCCCTTTGGTCAGCCTTTCTCTGGAAGCCGCACCTTTGAATGAGAGCTCGCATTTATTATACACGAGTGATGTGTTGCACTCAGTGTTTTCCATACAGTATTTCTTCGTAATTTCCCCCACAGGCCTGGAAGGAGGTACTCACATCATGCCCATTTTAGAAATAAGGAAATAGCCTTACAGAGGGAAAGTAACTTGGCTAAGGTGAACTTGAACCAAGATGACTGACTCCAGAGCTTCCATTTTTCTTTTTTTTTTTTTCTAGTTTTTTTTTTTTTTTGAGACAGTTTATCACCTAAGCTGGGCTCAAGCGATCCTCCCACCTCAGCACCCCCAAGTAGCTGGGATTATGGGCGTGCTCCATGCCCAGCTAATTTTTGTATTTTTAGAAGAGACGGGGTTTCACCATGTTGGCCAGCTGGTCTTGAACTCCTGACCTCAGGTGATCCACCTGACTCAGCCTCCCAAAGTGCTGGGACTGCAGCTGTGAGCCCCTGCGCCCAGCCAGAGCTTGTGTTTTTCTTATCTTCTTTTGTTCTTTTCTGTCTCTATCTTGTTTCCCTTCTGGCCTTCCTGTGCTGTTTGAGTTAATTGCATGTCAGATCATGATTAATAATAACTGAGGCTTATGATGAATGCTCAGGCAAGTCCGCTTGTTTCCCTCCGTCATTTTGGACCGGCTCTGCTCTCCCCAGCCCCAGGCACCCGCTGTAATAGCCTAACGTGTCCTTCCAGGCCACCTTCCGATTATTGTGAATACATGGCTATCCTTAAATGTATATAATATTTTTTTTGTGTGTGTTCTTTTTTAAAGACAGGGTTTTTCCATGTTGGTCAGGCTGGTCTCAAACTCCTGACCTCAGATGATCTACCCGCCTCAGCCTCCCAAAGTACTGATATTGCACCCACTGCACCCAGCCTTTCTTTGTGTGTTTTAAGTCTACATGAATGGGACTGTAAATTGCCTATTCCCATTCTTTCACAGGTGTTGAGGGAAGTAAGGGGTAATTTTCGTAAATTTTTTTTTTTTTAAGATGGAGTTTCACTCTTGTTGCCCAGGCTGGAGTGCAGTGGTGTGACCTTGACTCACTGCAACCTCTGTCTCCGGGTTCAAGCGGTTCTCCTGCTTCAGCCTCCCTAGTAGCTGGGATTACAGGTGCATGCCCCCATGCCCAGCTAATTTTTGTATTATTTTTGAGACAGAGTCGCTCTTGTTGCCCAGGCTGGAGTGCAGTGGCACAACCTTGGCTCACTGCAACCTCTGCCTCCCAAGTTGAAGCGATTCTCCTGCCTCAGCTTCCCAAGTAGCTGGGATTACAGGTGTGTGCCACCACACCTGACTAACTTTAGTATTTTCAGTAGAGATGGAGTTTTACCATGTTGGCCAGGCTGGTCTTGAACTCCTGACCTCAGGTGATCCACCTGCCTCGGCCTCCCAAAATGCTGGGATTACAGGTGTGAGCCACTGCGCCCGGCCTGTCACTATCAATTTCTAATGCTTATCAGTTTCTGTGTCTTCCTTCTACCACATCTAAAAGCCAAAACTGGTGGGGTGCAGTGGCTCATGCTTGTAATCCCAAAATCTACCAAAAAAAAAATTTTTTTTTAAATCAGCTGTGTGAGGTGGCACACGCCTGTAGTTCCAGCTATTCAGGAGGCTGAGGTGGGAGAGTCTCTTGAGCCCAGGAGTTAAAGGGTGCAGTGAACTAGGATCATGCCACCGCATTCCAGCCTGGATAACAGCAAGAGACCCTGTCTCAAAAATAAACAAATAAATAGAATAAAAGCCAAAGTGCCTTACTTACTTCTTGGAGCTTGCTCCGAAGTTCATCTCTTTACTTGCTCAAGTACTCAAGAGAGTCTTTGTGTAGTAAAGTTTCTGATGTCTCACTATAGCTTGATTTCAAAGCCGGTGCAGTAGTTCACGCCTGTAATCTCAGCTCTTCAGGAGGCGGAGGTGGGCAGATCACTGGAGGTCAGGAGTTCAAGACCAGCCTGGCCAACATGGCAAAACCCCATCTCTACTAAAAATACAAAGATTAACCAGGCATGGTGGCGTGCACCTGTAATCCCAGCTACTTGGGAGGCTGAAGTTGCAGAATCGCTTGAACACAGGAGGCAGAGGTTGCAGTGAGCTGAGATCACGCCATGGCACTCCAGCCTGGGTGACAGAGTGAGATTCCCTCAAACAAAACAAAACAAGAATAGCTTTATTTCACACTCAAATGAGAGTTTAGCAGGGTATAAAATTCTATTAAAAAAAAATTCTAGTTTCTTTCAACACATTGAAACTGTTACTTTCTTGTCTTCTTGTTCCTTGGTGCTGTAGGTTCCAAGTACCTGTGATATGTGTTCATTTATAAGCAATCTGGATTTTTTTCCTAGAAAACTTAGAATTTTGGCTGGGCACAGTGGCTCACACCTGTAATCCTAGCACTTTGGGAGGCCGAGGTGGGTGGATCACCTGAGGTAGGAGTTCAAGACCAGCCTGACCATCATGGTGAAACCCCATCTTAAAAAAAAAGAACAAAAACTTAGAATTTTACCTTCAGGCTGGGCACAGTGGCTCATGCCTATAATCCCAGCACTTTGGGAGGCTGAGGCGGGTGGATCACGAGGTCAAGAGATCAAGACCTGGTCAACATGGTGAAACCCCATCTCTACTAAAAATACAAAAAGCTGGGCATGGTGGCGCATGCCTGTAATTCCAGCTACTCGGGAGGCTGAGGCAGGAGAATTGCCTGAACCCAGGAGGCAGAGGTTGTGGTGAGCCGAGATCGCACCATTGCACTCCAGCCTGGGTAACGAGCGCAACTCTGTCTCAAAAAAAAAGAATTTTACCTTCAAGATTCTCGAATTTCACAAGATATATTAAAGTGTTGCGGGGGGTCCTTATTTTCTCTCGTCTGGCCTTTATGAGAAAGCTCTCGACTCCTGCCCCTCAGGAAACCTCCAACACCTGTCTCCTGGCATTTTCCTTTTCTGGGCTGGTACATGACACCCCTGTTGTCAGTGTGGCACCCATGTGTGGCAGGTGGCATGGGGCACACTTGGTTGTCACAGCCATGGATGTGGCCAGCACTGAGGGTACTCTGCCCCCCTGCTCGCCTTGGGGGGGGGCACCATACGGCTGTGCCTAGGACAGTGTTTAGAGAAAAGCAAGTAAAAAGCGAAGCTCTCCCTGAGCCCACCTCCCATCTGAGGAGGCCCCTTCCATTCCAGGCCCAGTTTCCTCCTGCATTGGGGTCCCACCTTTTCCCTCCCCCAGGGTTTTATATAGTCTGTGGAGTCAGGTTCCCTCCGAGCCCTCTCTCAAGCCCCACCAGCCTGGGGTTTGTTGAGAGAGGAGCACCCCTTGCCGCTGCGTGGGTCCTCTGGAGGGAGCAGGTGGAGGAGCCTTTTCTTTCCCACACGGATTTCATCCCTCCCTTTTGTCTCCTCTGCAGTCAGACTGGTTCTTCAGTGATGAAGAGGACAAGGGAGAGAGAGTAAGTGATGCCGTGGGCTGGGCTAGCGTGGGCCCCAGTCCTTGGGGGCAGGGTGGGCAGTGGGACTCAGGCCAGGGAAGGTGCCTGTCCTTGGGGGTTCCCCAGTCGGATGGAAGAAACACCCTCTCCTTAGGAGCCCCAAGTCTGATAGGGAGGCACAGAGCTTGCCTTCAGGAGGTCCCAGTCTAATTTGAGAGATACAGGGCTTGCTCAGAGGGAACCCAGTTCAGGAGTAAAGGCAGCTCCAGCCTCTGGGCTACTGGGAAGGACATAGGTTGGAGGGGCTCTAGTCTGGTGGTGGGGGACACAGCCCCTGCCCCCAGCTGAAGGGGCTGCTCTGGCCTTCTTGGTTCCGAGGTGTTGAGGAATGCACAAAACCGTCTCATAGGGGACGTGTAGGAACCATCCTTAAGAGTGCCTGGCTGGTAAGGGGGATGGTCCCTGCCCCGGTGAGCCAGGTTTGATGGAGGAGACACGGGCCCTGTCATCAGGGCACCCCCCTCTTCGGGGTTGGCAGCCTAGCATCCGAGGGCATGCCAGCTGACCCCTCCTCCTGTTCACAGACCCCTGTGGGCGACAAGGAGCCTCAGGCAGTGCCCAACATTGAGTACCTCCTGCCCAACATTGGCAGGACAGTGCCCCCTGGTGACCCAGGGTCAGGTGAGCACAGGGGCCTGGGTGTGGGGAGGCGGAAGGGTGGGCACTGTGTTCCTGAGGGTCCCAGATGTCTGGCCAGATGCCCAGCTTCCCTGTGCCACCCCAGTGGGGCCCTCCTTTGCCTGCCACCATGGAGACGGGGCTGTTGGGGGCCTGCTCCCTCCTTGGGGAAGTCCGGCTCGCACCGTGCTGCCTCTGGTCTGCACAGGTGCCCGCCCATGCCGGGTCGGAGCTTTGCTCACCCTCTCTCACTGGTTTCTTTCCTCAGCCTTTAATTTCCCATGGGCTGGCTGTGTCCTGGGCATGTTCCTCTTGATAATTTTTCTTCCTTTTCTCCTTGCACCCCTGCCTCTCCCTCCTCCTCTCCCTCACTCTCCTTCCATCCCCTCCTCCTATTCTCCCCTCTCCTCCTCCAGCGGACCTGTTGGAGATTTAAAGGGTACAGTGCAGTGTTGCGGCCTCGGTCACTAACAGTGGCGGGTGATTATAAGAAGGCTGGGTGGGCACAGAGGCAGGCAGAATACCCCAGGCTGTGAGGACCCCACCCTGACATGCCAGTTACCCCTGCTTGCTAACTACTTGCCCCAGCAGCCCATACCCCTCCCATCCTAAAGCCCCTTCTCACTGGTCCCAGGGCCCTCCCCATCGCCTGGACACCTGGGCATCAGATTGCTGCCCTCCCACAGTGCCACAGACCCTGTGGCCTCTCTGTGCCAAGCCTTACCACTGCTGGTGATCCTGACAGGGACCCAGTCTCCCTGGAGACCAGCGATGACACGCCCAGAAGCTTCTCTTATCTCTAACTCCTGCCTCAGTCACCCCAATGGGCTGCCTCTTCCTGCTTAAGAAACTAGGGCTTTCAGTCCTGTTTGCAGGGCCTCTGGCCCTCTCATGGCAGAGGACAGATGATTGTGCTCAGAGACAGATGAGTGGCCACTCCCTTTATGGCTGCAGCCACTGACTCCTCCCCCACTATGGTTGTCCCACCCTTTAGTATTTCTGTTGTCTCTGACAGGCACACACTAGGGAGACCAGGAGCTCCCTAGTCTCCAGAGGTAGGCTCAGGAGGGGCCAGAAGATGTGGGGATGGCCCGGCAGAGAGGGGCCCCATGTCTCTTCTAATCACCCGCCACCCCCGCCTGCCCCGTATGTCGTGTGTGGTTGCCCATCTTGCTTTTCTCACATTGTGCAGGGGGAGGGGTCTGGAGAGGGGGCATCTAACTTGCCTGCCCGAGAGTGTGGATTAACCGCACCTGCCCACTATCCTTTGGGACCCCAGGAAGCCCTTGGACCAACCTGCTTCCTCTCTAGTCTTGGAGAGGACCTGCCAGGACATGTTTCTGGTTCCTTCTCCACCCCAGTGATATTAAGGGAGGGAGACCCAAGCCCCTTAGAAGTAATGATTTTAGTTTCCTTCATAGCTCTGGTTATAACTGGGGAGTCTGCCCATGAGGGTCCCCAGGAGAAGAGGCAGGGTGACCCCTCGTCCGGAGGGGTCTAATCACCAGCCCACTCCACCTCCTGCATCCCACCCACTCCATTTCTGCCGTTTTATCCATTATTCACGTGGCTCCTCCTCTTTCTCGTGTGCTGGGGGGTAGATATAGGGCAACCTCTGTGCACTGTATGGTCACCATTTCTCCAGAGCATCTGTGACTTGCTGTGTTTCACTGTGGTGGTTTCCATGGACTGCATCTGATATTTGGCATTTTCTCTCTAGTGCTTCAGAGTAACAGGGACGGGACAAGACAGGAGGGGAAAGGGAGAGGAACCAGGCTCAAAGACAATGCCCCCTTGCCCTTAGCCATCTATAAATGTGGGGCCAGTGGCTGGCAGCCTGATGTCACTTCCTGCCTCCAGAGGAAGTGGCAATTAACATCACTTTCTGCTCCATCCCTCTTCCTTAGAAAGTGACATCAGAAGTCCATCATAGTCTTAGGGCCTGGGGAGATCTCATGTTTCAGAATTCCCTGGTTTCTGAAGCCTTTGAGGTAGGGAATTGTATGCATAAGATTCAGCTTTCTTTTTCCCTGATGCAGTTTTCCGTTTTTTTTTTTCTGTCTTTCACCAACAGATTCTGCCACCTGTAGTTCAGCCAAGTCCAAGGTACGTATGAAGGCAATTCTGAAGGCTTTTCCCTGCACAAGCCAGCCCACTTTGGTTTTTGTTCAACGGAATTGAGGGAATGGCAGCTGGACCATGGGGAAAGTTGATGGTCCCTGGGAGGGAAAGTGGGAGGTACTGAGTGTTCAAGGGAAGCTGAGAAGCTGCTTACCTTGGCAGTGTTAAGGCGTCTGGTGTAGTAGAAGCGCCTGGCCTGGGAGTTACGTGACTGCAAGGCAGTGTGGCTCAGTGGTTAGAAGCACAGACCCTGGAGTCAGACAGTCCCGGGTTTGAGTTCTGGTGCCACCATTTAGTAGTTTGGGACATTGGGCAAGTCACTTGACCTCTTTCTGAGCCTCAGTTTTCTCATCTGTAAAATGGGAATAACAATACGTATGTGGGGTATTATAATAAATATTCTTTAAGGTCTTTGGAGAGCCTAAAACAGCAGGAAATAAAGAGAGGAGCAGAAATCCATGAAATTGAAAACAGTCAAAAAAAACAGTGCAACCAAAAGCTGGTTCTTTGAAACAAAACAAAACAAAAAACAACAACAACAAAATGAAATTGACAAGCCTCCAGCCAGACTGACAGAATAAGAAGATGGCACAGATTATCAGTATCAGGAATGAAAGAGGGACATCACTACACCCCTAAGTTATTGAACTTATGGGCATAAAGTTGCCCGTAAATTCAATAACAGATGAAACAGACCAATTCTTTGAAAGATTCAAACTGCCAAAACTCAAGAAAAAAAATAGATAACCTGAATAGTCCTGTACCTCTCAAAGAAATTGAATGTGTCATTTAAACTGTGACACCACCCTCCCCACCCCCGACAATGAAAACTCCAGGACCAGATGGTTTCACTGGTAAATTCTACCAGATATTTAAGGAATTTTTAGAATCTTAAACAATTGAATAATTTTAAATATTCTAAATATAAAATAGTATAATTTAAAATATTGGTATAATATGTTTTATTTGAGATGGAGTCTCCCTGTTGCCCGAGCTGGAGTGCAGTGGTGTGATCTTGGCTCACTGCAACCTCAAGCGATTCTCCTGCCTCAGCCTCCCGAGTAGCTGAGACTATGGGCGTGCGCCACCACGCCCGGCTAAGTTTTGTGTTTTTAGTAGAGACAGGGTTTCACCGTGTCGGCCAGGTAGGTCTCAAATTCCTGACCTTGTGATCTGCCCACCTCGGCCTCCCAAAGTGCTGGGATTACAGGCGTGAGCCACCGCACCTGGCTGGTGTAATATTTAAGTAGTTATTTTAATTATATTGGAATTACTGAAATACTATTTAAATACTTATTTAAAAAATATCAATTTTCCACAATCTCTTTCGGAAAGTAAAAGAGGGTGGCTGTGCACTGTGGCTCATGCCTGTAATCCCAGCTACTCAGGAGGCTGAGACAGGAGAACTGCTTGAACCCTCGAAGAGGAGGTTGCAGTGAGCTGAGATGGTGCTACTGCACTCCAGCCTGGGCGACAGAGCAAGACTCCATCTCAAAGAAAAGAAAACAGAAGAGGAGGAAACACTTTCCAATGCATTTATGAGGCCAGCATTACCCTGATACCAAAACCCGACAATGTTTTTGAAAAAGATAGGACTAATTCATTTGATAATACCACAAATACGTCTTGAAAATCTGCTCTGTATCAGTACTGTGCTGGGTACTGAAAATATAAATAATGAGCCAAACAGATAGGCTCCTGCCCTCACGAAGCTTAGCTTCTAATGAGAGACAGACACTAAGCTGATGAACAAATAGACCGTCTGGCAGGTTTGGGGGTACAGTGGAGGCAGAAGCCAGATGGAACAAGCTAATAAAGTGAGGAGGGAAGAGAGCATGCATAGACCACTCTGTTGAGAAGTCCGACTGTGAAGACAGATTTACAGAGCAAACGTAGGAAAGTATGGCTTGAGGGAAGCTTTCATTAAAAGATGAACACAGCCAGACGTAATGGCTCACACCTGTAATCCCAACACATTTGGAGGCCGAAGCAGGAGGATCCCTTGATCCCAGGAGTTAGAGACTAGCCTGGACACCATAGTGAGACCTTAACTCTACAAAAAATACAAATATTAACCAGGCCTGGTGGTGCATGCCTGTAGTCCCAGTTACTCAGGAGGCTGAGGCAGGAGGATCATTTGAGACTGGGAGGTTGAGGCTGCAGTGAGCCATGATCATGCCACTGCACTCCAGCCTGGGCAACAGAACAAGAGACCCCGTCTCAAAAAACAAAAGACAAAAGCACATATTTACTTGCAATGATTCAGGTGAGAGAAGAGAGGAGAAAGAGAAAGAGCTGGGCCCTGAGCCCATGAGGCAGCAGTAGCCTCTGCTCCTGGCAGATGCATCAGCAGGTGGAGTAGGAAGAGGGAGGGGCAGGGGCACACCTGCAGGCAGTGTTGGCAGCAGGTCATTGGGGCACCCCCAGCTGATGGCTCTTTCCTCAGCGAAGTGGAAGGTGAGGCCCTCTGCTGAGCGTGAAGGTGGCAGGGAAAGTCAGTAGAGAGAAGGAAGTCTGGATGAGTCCCATGAAGCAAGGCAGATTTCCTGAAGGGGCTGAGGAGCATCATGCGCAGGCTGAGGTCTCCAAAGTCTGCAGCCCCTTCTCAAGAGCCAGCACTTTGCCCGGCAGCCCTGTCCCGCCCCTTTGGGCCTGGCTTCTCCACAGTCCCTTGAGAGCCCCTTCTAGCCAGATGTCCTCCTTTGCTTCCTGTGACCCCACCCCATCTCCAGTGGACTCAGCTCTGACTTCCCCAGAGCTCACAGGCCAGCACCTCCCTGAAGCCTCCTGGCTTGCAATTCTTTCCTGCTGAGGCACTACCGGTTACCGCTCCCCAGTCTGGGCCCTGACTCCTGTGTTAGGCTGGGAACTCCTGCAGAGGCCTTCTCAGTCATAGGGCTTGAACAACAGAATATGCTTTTTAGAGAGGACGTCTGTATTGTAAACTGACTCAGAGACTTCACTGAGGTCATCACTATTGTGTGAGATGAAAGAGGAGGAAATGCACATTTACTAGGTGTCAGCTGCCATGCAGAGAACTTTTCACAAACATTAGTTTCATTTCATTTTTACGGAAGACCCTTGAGTTTTGTGCCATCCCCATTTTACAGATGTGGAAACCAAGGCCCGGAGAACTTGAGTAACTAGAAGGTTGACTGGGCATATTCTTGGGCCTCAGTGAGGGGAGCTGTTTAGGTGGCCGCCTTCCTTGATGGTGCTCTGGCGTCTGAGTTCTGATCCTCTGCTGTCAGGCTTAGAGTGTTTCTGGATTTTCTGGCATAGGGACTGGCTCTGTCCTGACCTGAGCTGAAACCAGTGGGCCAAGCCCCTAAGAAACGGAAGCACGGACCAGGCTGCCAGTCTCTGAAATAGTGATGGGAATAACTGCCTCAGGGACAGGGGCGTTCAGTTGTGTGTGCCCTTGTGGTCTCAGTCTCATCTACTGGGGAGACCAGGGGTCGGAGTCAGGGAAGTGGGAGGCACCAGGAGAGCCTTCGGCCTCCTGTCTCGGCTGTAGGGAAGGGGCTGCCTTGGGCACCAGGGCCTGGACCCCTGCTAGGCTGTGAGCACTGAGGGTGGGCACAAACCCTGCAAGTGCTAGACACTCATGATTGCCAGCGTCTGTCTCTTTTGCCTAACTCTAAAACCCAGGTCAGTGATTGTCAAAGCATTCCCTGGAGCTGCCATGGGGTTGTGACCACAGCAGTGTGAGGCCCAAGCAGGCAGGGACCCACGCTCCCACAGCCTCGCTCTGAGCGGCTCTTGGCTCCGTCTCACATCGTTGGGTTTCTGGGAGGATTCCATTTGGACAGAGTGCTCCCAAGCTCATAAAAAGCCACTGTTGTAGATGTGACAGCCCCGTCTCTAGTCTTTCTCCAGGCTGTGTCCAGGACACCCAGGCGTTGTTGGTGCCCTAAGTTATAGCCACATTCCAATTGTGCCTCCCTGTGTGGATGGTTTTGGCTGTGTGGGTAGGAGTATGGGCAGGCACATGTGGCAGTCTCTTAGCTCCATGGTGGGTGGAGTGAAGCTGTCTAATGCTCGGAAGCCTCCCTTATCATCTTTTGTTTTTGAGACAGGGTCTCACTCTGTCTCCCAGGCTGCAGTGCAGTGGCCTGAATACGGCTCACCGTAGCCTCTAACTGCCGCCTCAGCTCCTTTAGCGATCCTCCCGCCTCAGCCTCCTGAGTACCTGGGACTACAGGCATACACCACCACTCCTCGCTAATTTTTTGTAGAAATGGGATCTTGCTTCTTTGCACAGGCTGTTCTTGAATTCCTGGCTTCCATGGATCCTCCTGCCTTGGCCTCCCAAAGTGCTGAGATTACAGGCATGAGCCACTGCACCCCACTCCCTTTATCTTAACAAGTTCTTGGGCAAGGGGACCACTTTTGTCTTCTCTGGTGGTCTCTCACCTGCCGCTCAGCTTTCTTAACTGCCTGCGGTAATCCCCAAGCACCCCCACTGGTACAGGGAGAAGTCTAGCTCCTGACCAGGCTCTGTCTGATTTCCCCAGCCCTGCCTTATTCAAGTTCCTCATACTCCTTGGCCCCAACCCTTGCCCCATAAGAAACTTCTCCATGACCCTGACCCTGACGGAGAGCTGGCCACCTGAAAATGTTTGCATTGATAACAGATACTAGAACCCATCTACTTTGGGTCTCAGGCCCCTTCAGAAATCAGAGGAGGCCAAGCATGGTGGCTCATACCTGTAATCGTACCACTTTTAGAGGCTGAGGTGGGAAGATCACTTGAAGCCAGGAATTCGAGACTAGCCTGGCCAATATGGTGAAACCCTGTCTCTACTAACAATACAAAAATTAGCTGCGAGTGCTGGCACATGCCTGTAATCCCAGCTACTCAAGAGGCTAAGGCAGGAGAATCACTTGAACTGGGGAAGCGGAGGTTGCAGTGAGCCAAGATTGTGCCACTGCATTCCAGCCTGGGAATAGAGTGAGACTCCATCTCAAAAAGAAAAAAGGAAAGTTATGCACCCTTGCTCCAGAAAGACAAAATCCTATAGCAAGTTCAAGGAGTTCATGGACCCCCAAAGCCCACCCAGAGATTCCAGTTAAGAGCGCCTTCACCAAAGTAGTTGGGCTGGTGATGAGTTTGGCAGGTTCAGCCATCATCAATAATGCCTTTGGCCATCACTGATACCTAAGTTTAAAGTATCCAACAATATGAATAGTTACAATTTACTGAGCATTTGCTGTGTTACTGTGCTCAGAATTACTAATCCTCACAAATGCCCTGTGAGTTAGAGACAGGATTATCCTTATTTTGCAGTTGGGGAAACAGAAGCTGGAGGAGCTTCTCTAACTTGGTCCAGGTCTCACAACCAGCAAGTCCAGAGCCTCCCCTCTGAGACAGAACCCATTAGGAGATGAGTCTCCCCTGGGTGACTCTGCCTGGCTGTGAGATTAGAGCTTGAGGGCAGGGTGGGTGTAAAGTCATCTTAGGCTGCTGTAACAAAATGCCATAGCTAGGTGCCTCAAACAACAGAAATGGATTTTTTCGCAGTTCCACAGGCTAGAAGTCTGAGATCAAGGTCCCAGCATGGCTCATTTCTGGTGAGGGTTCCCTGCCTGTCTTGTAGATGGTAGATGGCCACCATCTCTCAATGTGTTCTTGCAAGACAGAGAGAGACAGAGACTCGAGGCGGGACGGAGATTGATTCTTGCTGTGTCCTTGCAAGGCAAAGCAGAGAGAAAAGAGCGATCGAGAGAGCACAAGCCCTCTGATATCCCTTCTTAGAAGGGCACTAATCCCATCAAAGGTCCCACTTTTGCCTAAACGTAATCATCTCTCAAAGGCTCCATCTCCAAATTGATGGTTAGGGCTTCAGCATGTGAGTTTAGGGGGTACACAGTTTAGTCCATAGCAGTGGGTGAAATCAGCTAATCACTGGCTGGCGGAACTGGGCTCATACCTGTCTGGGTCTCAGGTTTGTAAGCCCATCCCACAGGCCTGTGCCTGATACCTGGCAGGTGCTCAGGATGTGTCAGATGAATACACTGGACAAAAGAAAAAGCTGTGGGCATGGTGGCTCCCGCCTGTAATCCCAGCACTTTGGAAGGCTAAGGTGGGAGGATCGCTTGAGGCCAGGAGTTCAAGACTGATCTAGCCAACATGGCTAAAAATACTAAAAATTAGCCGGGCACCTGTAACCCCAGCTACTCGGGAGGCTGAGGCAGGAGAATTCCTTGAACCCGGGAGGCAGAGGTTCCAGTGAACCGAGATTGCGCCACTGCATTCCAGCCTGGTGACAGAGGGAGACTCTGTCTCCAAAAATAATAATGCTCTAGCTGGGGCAAGGGTCCCCTGTAGGTTCTGCATGGAGCCCCTGCTGCACTTGCACACCTGGTGACAGGGAGCTCAGTCCATACGATTGCTGTGACAGGGAGAAAATTCATTATAGTGACCTATATCCAGGTTCTTGTCACCTCCGTCCATTGCTCCTGCTGACCTTCTGGTTTCCTGCAGTATATCTTGGATTAACTCCCTGATCTCTCTGAATATTCTGACCTCTGTATTCCTTGGAAGAGAAATCAATCTGACTTAATTGCTTCTGGAACCAGCCGGGATAAGAGGGTAGTGTGATCAGATGATCCCAGCGGCCTCTTAAGTCTCTCAGAGAGCACTGGCCTGGAAAGAAAGCAGTATTGGCTACCACATGCCCCAGGCTGATCGTAGCAGTGCAACCACATTGCACAACTCTGGGGGCGCCTTCTGGAGTCATGCAGTGTGGGCAGCCATGGCCCAGGAGCCACATGCCTGTGACTCCTGAGTCCTTGACATGCTCTGGCTTTCTCAGAACTGGTTAACATGAGAGAGAGGACAGTGGCTGTAGTGGCCACAAGAGGCATCTGGGTCTCTGTTCATTATTACACCGTGGCTGAAACAGCAGGTGGTCTGTGAGGAGGTGTTGAAGGGCAGCGTGACCTTGTCAGGCCATTCTAGCCCAAGACGGGAACCAGTCTTAGCATCTGCTTCTGCAAGGCTTCCTGTGTTAAGGGGATTTCATTCACCAATTTGCTCATTTCACGTTTATTGAGCACCCATTATGTGCCATGAAGAAACAACCAAGTCACAGCCCTTGCTCTCAAGGAGCTCAGAGTTTGATGAGGCTGATGTGAGAAAAGCTAGGAGCATAGTGAGACTACAGGAACAGAGAGAAGTGATCTCCCATCTCAGGAGAGGGGAGGGCTGGGAGGTTGCTGTACAGAGGAAGCCACGTTTGAGCTGAGCCTTGTAGGGTAAGTAGTATCTTGTCCAGGGAATAGGGCCGGGGGATATTAAGGGCTGCCGGCAATGTAACAGTGTATGTCACATCAAAGGAAGGGTTTCCATAGTGAAGGCTGGGTTAGGGTCGGGACAGGGCAGTAGGCTGGGTGAGTTGGGGCTGGGTTGTCAAGAGCCCTATGTGCTGAGCTGGGGGAACGTGTGCTTTATCCTGGTGAGTGCTGGGTCATGCAAGCTTCCGAGGGAAGCTGGGTGAGGATCAGACACCTGCTTCAGAATGGTTGCTCTGGAGGAGGGGCCCAGGCTGGGGCAAGGGCAGAGGCAGGAAACCCTGACAGGAGGGGTGGGAGGGCCCAGAGAGGGCCTGCCAGAGGAGAAGGAAGAGTTGGCTTTGGGAGCCATTTCAGAAGAATCCAGGACTTGGCTGTGAGTGGTGGGGAGAGGGAGGAGTCACAGGACTGCCCTAAGGTGAGGAACATGAATGGAGGCAGTTTGGGGCAGGGGTAGGTAGGATGCTGTGATTCTGGATAGGTTTTAGGAGCCTACACACACCCAGGTAGCAATGGATTTGCAATGGGAAGAGGAATCCTGGAGCTCAAGAGATTGCGGTGTTGGAAAGGGAGGCCTGGATAGCAGTGTCACTTGGGAATGGTGTTTTCTAGGGAACATGAACAGAGAAGGCAAAGGGGCCAAGAACAGAGTCCTGGGAACACTAAGGCTCACTTAGTGAGGGGAAGAAGAGCCTCTCCTCTCCTAAGAGGCAGAGGAGAGGCCAGAAGGGAGGATGAAAACCAGCTTCCAGAGGCCTTGGCCAGCAGCAAGGGCCCTCCTGGGAAGGTGTGAAAGGCCAAGGCCCCACAACACACAGGGTGTAGCAGTGAGGGCTGGTCCTGGTGAGAACAGGGCATGAAGTTGCCCAGCTTGGGGTTGAAAATCAGTTTGGGAGTGGCTCCAATCCAAATCATGACACGGTAGGGGGATCTCTCAGCCACTTTCAGGGAAAGAGCTGGCCAGGATTGACCTAGGATTAAGGGATTGGTCGGGTGGGAAGCTGGTGGGGTCCTGTGGAAAGGTGAGAATGTGAATTGGGGCGGGTTTGAGGCCTGTAGATGCTGAGCAGATGAAGGCAGGTTTCCAGCCGATGGAGAAGAGGTGGGGGGCCTTGTGATCAGAGAGCGCCCCTGCCGGGGCTCTGAGGATGACACCCCAGGGTGTGTGTGAAACAGATTCATGCTGCCAAGCGTTATTCACTGTGGAGAGACTGTCATCAGCAGAGCCATGTCTTAAAGGATTTAGCCAGGCCTGGATACGGAAAACAGAATAGAAAGGGGCTTGGGGAGACCAGCCCGGTTCACAGGAAAGAGCTGAGAGCCTGGATTCGGGCCCTCGTGGGTGCTGTGCTGGCTGCAGGATGGGGCGCGGGGGTAGTCTTTGGACGGAGGGCGGCACAGGGCTGGAAGAAGAGCGTTTTATGATGCGGACTGGGAAGAGCGGGTCGGCCCAGGGCCGAGTCTGGGCGCCCTCCGCATCCTGACCTGTCTCCCGCACAGGGCTCGTGGGCCCCCAAGAAGGAGCCGTATGCCCGGGAGATGCTGGCGATCTCCTTCATCTCGGCGGTCAACCGCAAGCGCAAGAAGCGGCGGGAGGCGCGGGGGCTGGGCAGCAGCACCGACGATGATTCGGAGCAGGAGGCGCACAAGCCCGGGGCGGGGGCCACGGCGCCGGGGGCTCGGGAGCGGCCGCAGGGGTCGCTGCCGGGCGCCGTCGCCCCCGAGGCTCCTGGATGCCTCAGCCCCCCGGCGGCGCCCGAGGAGCGGCCGGCCGCGGACACCCGCTCCATCGTGTCGGGCTACTCCACCCTGTCCACCATGGACCGCAGCGTGTGCTCGGGTGCGGGCGGCCAGCGGGCGGGCGCAGGGGACGAGGCAGACGATGAGCGCAGCGAGCTGAGCCACGTGGAGACGGACACGGAGGGCGCGGGGCCTGGGGGGCGCCTGGCGCGCCGGCCGTCCTTCAGCTCGCACCACCTCATGCCCTGTGACACCCTGGCACGCCGCCGCCTGGCCCGGGCCCGCCCGGACAGTGAGGGCACGGGCCGGGGTGGTCCCTGCACCCCCGAGCCGCCCGGCTCGGCGTCGTCCAGCAGCCAGGAGTCGCTGCGGCCCCCGGTGGCGGCGCTGGTTTCGCGGCCCTCGCTCATGGAGACACTGCGGCTGCGGCTCCGCGGCACGGCCGATGACATGCTTGCCGTGCGCCTGCGGCAGCCGCTATCGCCCGAGACCCGGCGGCGCCGGAGCAGCTGGCGCCGCCACACCGTGGTAGTGCAGAGCCCGCTGACCGACCTCAACTTCAACAAGTGGAAGGAGCTGGATGGAGGGGGCCCCCCGGAGCCTGCGGGCGCGCGGGCGCACAGTGACAACAAGGATTCCGGCCTTAGCAGCCTGGAGTCCACCAAGGCACGGGCTCCGTCATCTGCGGCCTCGCTACCGCCCATGCGCGGGGACCCGGGGACTCTGCAGAGCCAGCCCCTACGCCGCTCGGCCGCCTCTCGCCTGCATCAGTGTCTGTGATCCCCCCCTCTCCCGTGCCGCTTGGGCCCCACCCTTCCCCACAGCCCCTTGGGAACCAGGAGGCTCCTCCGGCCTGCACCCCCCTCTTCTGTGACCCCTGGGTGCAGGCCATGTCTCTAGTTCGTGTGCTGGAACTGGCAGGGGGTGGGCAGAGAAGGCTGGAGCTGGACCAAGAGTGAACAGAAGGAGGTTCCAGAGAGGGTGGGAGCTGCTGCGGGCGTCTGTGTCCCTGTGCACATGTACCCAATGGGTCCTCCTGAGCCTTTGTGGCTCCACTTGGGGACCCTTGGGGACCATGGGTGTGGCTAGGGAATCCCTAAATTTGACTAAGGAAAGATCCTGGGTGATGCTGGCTTTTTGCTTTTTTCCCTCTGCCCTCGCACCTCATTAGCTCCTAAGTGCGGATGTGTGTCTGTCTGGGGAGAGGAGGTGTAGGGTGCGTGTGTCCACGGGGGGAGGGGCTTGTGTGTGCAAGTGTGTGTGCAGTCACTGTCCCAAGGTGTTTCCAGTAGTGACTTCTGCCCTCTACCCCACCCCGTCCCCACTTCGCCCCCCAGGGCTCCCTGCCTTTGGTGCACAAAGGATCCTGCCCTCACTTGTCAGAGCCAGAGAAGGGGGCTGGGGCCACCCCCAGGAGGCAGGACTGAACCCCTCACCAGGGTTATTCCCCATCATCCTTTGGCCTGAGTCACCCCGAGTGCTTTGACCAGAGCAGCTGCCTGTTCTCCAGTTTGGGAATGGGGGGTCCAGGGTCCCCCTTGCTGGTACCCCTCTTTTTGTTCTTCCATCTGTGCCTGTTCCTTCCACAACCCAGGCACACAGAAGCCCCCCTCCTTCCCCTTAGAGGGGATGGTCAACACCCCTGGTGTCTGTCACTTACACACTGATTTATGGGGTCGGAGCTGGGCTGTTCCTGTTGTAAATAGAGCTCCTATCACCAGGCCGGCCCCCACACACCCTCACTCATTCCAGGGAAACCCAGGTGGGTGGGGAGCCTGCTGCCACCTCTATCAGTCCTCTTGTTTTATGCAAAGATTTACTGTAAAGTAGATTTCTTTCCCTCCCTCCCCATCCTTTTATTGTAAATATTGTCTCTAAATGTGTAACATACTATAAAGAATTTATAAGGATTTTTAAAGATGTTTTGCTCATTTACAAAAGTGTTGTAACAGTGTTGAACAAAACCTCCCGCTCCACGTCCGCATGGCGCCTGTCACTGTGTCCTCGACACAACTCTGGCAACAACTAAACTTTCCTGCTTCTGAAAAGTCCTGTCTTAAAAGTCTATATCTTGGAAATAAATGGCCTTCCTTGAGGCATGAGTCAGCTGTCTCACTTGTTTTGGAGGGAGAGGGTCAGAGTGGGGCTGGGAGACAGGGGAAGGAGGGCAGTAGGGACTGGACCAAGTGCTGTCAGGGTGGATGCAAACTTCTTCCTGGGCAATGACACAGGGACAGATATGAGTTGGAAGAGTCTGTGGCTCTCATTGCTGTGGGAGGTTTCCAGGCACCTGCTCTCTGGATTCCTGCAGAGCCCAGGCAGGTGCACAGGCACCTTCTCAGGCCTATCTGGAGCTTCACAATGGTTCCAGCAGTCCTTCCCACAAGCAGGAGGCTTGGGCCAGCTGTTGTAGGCACTCCAGGCCCAGGTAATATTGCAAAAGGACAGGATGGGTTTTGCCCGTTGTCGTCTTCACATGTGTAAAGCCTACAACATGGCATGAGCGTCCTTCTGTGCAGGTGGTGGCTTTGTTGTTAACCCCAGTCAGTTTACAGGCTGCCTCTGCTGAGCCTAGTAGCCTTCTGTAGGAAAACCAGGTGACATTTATTAAAGGGAATCTAGGAAGGGCTGGGGTGGTGGCTCATGCCTGGAATCCCAGCACTTTAGGAGGCTGAGGGTGGGAGGATAGCCTGAGCCCAGGAATTCAAGACCAGCCTGGGCAACATAGTGTAGCCCCTCCCTCCACCTCTACTAAACACCCCCCACCACACACACACACCTAGGGAGGAGCCCTGGGGCTGGGAAGAGCTCAGTTGCTCATTGAATCCTATGCCCCACCCTCCCAAGCTGTTTCTGTTGGGCAAATGAGCTTATAGCCAGTGTTATTGTAGGCTCTGCACCAGCTCAAGGGCTTTATGTGTCTTAAATCACCCTCCAGCACTCTTTTGAGGACAGCACCATCGTTTTCTGCATTTTATATACGAGGAAACAGGCACACAGCAGTGATATAAGTTGCCCAGCCCAAGGTCACATAGCTAGTAAGCTGTGGAACCGGGATAAGTTTATGTCCAGAGAAGGGACACAGGCATGGGGTAACAAGCCCACTGAGCTGCCACCTCCGGACTGTAGTAGACTGAGAATGGATCAAAACCCTGTGCTCTCCTTCAAAAATAAAGGAGGAATAGACCTGGCATGGTGGCTCATGCCTGTAATCCCAGGACTTCGGTAGGCTGAAGCAGGGAGATCCTGAGACCAGGAGTTTGAGACCAGCCTAACCAACATGGTAAATGAAACCCCATCTCTACTAAAAATACAAAAACTAGCTGAATGTAGTGTTGCATGCCTGTAGTCCCAGCTACTCGGGAGGCTGAGACAGGAGAATTGCTTGAACCGGGTAGATGGAGGTTGCAGTGAGCCGAGATTGCATTACTGCACTCCAGGCCTGGGTGACAGTGAGATTTTGTCTCAAACAGGAATGAAGATGCCCGGGCAGGGTGGCTAATGCCTGTAATCTCAGCACTTTGGGAGGCAGAGGCTGGTGGATCACTGGAGGTCAGGAGTTGGAGACCAGCCTGACCAACATGGTGAAACCTCGTCTCTACTAAAAATACAAAATTAGCTAGGTGTGGTGTCACGTGCCTGTAGTCCCAGCTATCGGGAGGCTGAGTCAGGAGAATCCCTTGAACCCAGGAGGCAGAGGTTGCAGTGAGCTGAGATTGTAACACTGCACTCCAGCCTGGCGACAGAGCAAGACTCAGTCTCAAAAAATAAATAAAAAGAGCCAGTTTATGAGGAAGATAAAATAACTGTAAACATATACACTCTTAACAACAGAGCCCAAAATACATGAAGCAAAAACTAATGAAACTGAAGGGAAATGAACTGAACTAGACCATTCAATGTAATAATTGGAGACTTCAATACCCCACTTTTTTTTTTTTTTTGAGATGGAGTTTTGCTCTGTCACCCAGGCTGGAGTGCAATGGCACGATCTCGACTCACTGCAGCCTCCTTCTCCTGGGTTCAAGGGATTCTCCTGCCTCAACTTCCCAAGTAGCTGGGATTACAGGTGCCCACGACACCTGGCTAATTTTTGTGCTTTTAGTAGAGGCAGGGTGTCATCGTTTTGGCCAGGCTGGTCTCGAACTTGACCTCAAGTGATCCACCCACCTTGGCCTCCCAAAGTGTTGGGTTTACAGGTGTGAGCCACCGCACCGGGCCAATACCCCACTTTCAATAATGGATGAAACAATGAGGCAGAAGATCAACAAGGAAGTAGAAACCTTGAACAATGCTGTAAACCAAGACCTGACAGACATCGAAACACTCCATGAAACAGCAGCAGAATACCCGCTCTTCTCAAGTACATACGACACAGTCATCAGGACAGACTATATACTAGGCCTTCAAACAAGCCTCAATAAATGGAAAAGGATTGAAATTATATAAAGTCTGTTTTCCCAACTGCATTGGAATTAAATTAGAAAACGACAACCGAGGAAATAAATATGTAGAATTTTTTTTTTTTTTTTTTTTCCTGAGACAGGTCTTGCTCTGTCACCCAGGCTGAAGGGCAGGGGCACGATCTCGGCTCACTGCAGCCTCCATCTCCCGGATTCAAGCGATTCTCATGCCTCAGCCTCTCAAGTAGCTGGGACTGCAGGAGTATATCACCATGCCTGGCTAATTTTTGTATTTTTACAGAGATGGGGTTTCACCATGTTGCCCAGGCTGGTCTTGGATTACTGACCTCCAGCGATCTGCCCGCCTCTGCCTCCCACATTACTGGGATTACAGGTGTGAGCTACCACGCCTAGCTAGAAATATGTAGAAATCTTAAAACATGCTCCTAAATAATCAGTGAGTCAAAGATGAAATTACAGGGAAATTATAAAATATCTTGAGGTATGTGGAAGCTAAAACACAACATAACTTATAGGATGCAGCAAAAGCAGTGTGTAGAAAGAAATTTATAACTATTCATGTCAATATTAGAAAAGAAGGAAGATTTCTAATAACCTAAACTTCCACCTTAAGAAACTAGAAAAAGAAGCCAGGTGCTGTGGCTCAAGCCTGTAATCCCAGCACTTTGGGAAGCCGAGGCGAGTGGATCATGAGGTCAAGAGATCGAGACCATCCTGGTCAACATGGTAAAACCCCATCTCTACTAAAAATACAAAAATTAGCTGGGCATGGTGGTGCGTGCCTGTAATCCTGGCTACTCAGGAGGCTGAGGAAGGAGAATTGCCTGAACCCAGGAGGTGGAGGTTATGGTGAGCCGAGATCGCGCCGTTGCACTCCAGCCTGGGTAACAACAGTGAAACTCCGTCTCAAAAAAAAAAAAAAAAAGAAACTAGAAAAAGAAGAGCAAACCAAACCAAAAGCAAGCCAAAGGAAGGAAATAATAAAGGTAAAAACAAAATTAATGAGATAGAAAATAGAGAAAAATAGAGAAAATCAGTAAAACCAAATTTTTTTTCTTTGAAAAGATCAACAAATTGACAACTGTTTAGCTAGACTGACCGAGGAAAAAAAGAAGACTCAAATTACTACATCAGGCATGAAAAGGGAGCCTTTAATGCTTATAAAAAGTAAAGGGGGGCTGGGTGCAGTGGCTCTCGCCTGTAATTCCAGCACTTTGGGAGGCCAAGGTGGGTGGATCATTTGAGGTCAGGAGTTCAAGACCAGCCTGGCCAACAGGGTGAAACCCTGTATCTACTTAAAAAAAAAAAAAAAAAAATCAGTCAGCTGTGGTGGCAGGCACCTGTAATCCCACCTATTCAGGAAGCTGAGGCAGGAGAATTGCTTGAACCCAGGAGGCAGAGGTTGTAGTGAGCCAAGATCGCAGAAACAGATCTTAGAAAACAGAGCAAGAGTCCGTCTCAAAAAAAAAAAAAAGTAGTAAAAGGACAATAAAGGAGCACT